TTACTAATGTATCTATGACTGCTAATTTGTTTAATTTTAATAAAGTATTGAATTTACGAAAAATTACAAATTGTTTGAATAATTGTGTGTATGATAATAAAAAATTTGTTCGCTTAATTGTGCGCTTAAGAAAACCAAAGGCAACAATTATGTTATATCAATCGGGAAAATTAATATGTATTGGGACTAATTCAGTTGATAACGGTAGAATAGCCATAAGAAGATTTGCGCGTATGATTCAAAAGCTCGGTTTTGATGTCCAACTAAACAATGTTACGGTAACTAATATGGTGGCTACTTTTGCACTTAACCGATCAATAAATCTGGCGGACTATGGATCATTTATTGGTATTCGGGCCTATTATCAACCTCAGAGGTTTCCATTATTGATCATTAACTACGGTGACAAGAAAAAAGCAAACATCTCCCGTACGGGTAAAGTTAATTTTACTGGTGTTAAATCATTATCTGAATTGAATGATTTATTTTATACATTTTATTTAGATTATTTAATTTATTAGTTTTTAAAAAATGTAAAATTTATTTATTTTTTGCATGTAAACAAACAAGTGTTTAGATGTAAACAAACCATTGAATAGATGTAAACAATCAAGTGTTTAGATGTAAACAAACCATTGAATAGATGTAAACAAACCAATGTTTACATGTAAACAAACCAATGTTTACATGTAAACAAACCATTGTATAAATGTAAATAAACCAATGTTTACATTATTTATTTATATGAAATCCTAATTGTATATTAAATTATTTATTAAATTATTTGAAATTTAATAAACTGAATTTAAATAAAATTAAATTCAACAAAATTAAATACAACTAAATTAAAATCAACAAAATTAAATTCAACGAAATTAAATACAACTAAATTAAAATCAACAAAATTAAATTCAACGAAATTAAATACAACTAAATTAAATTTAATTTAGTTGTATTTAATTAAATTTAATTCAATTATCGCGCGATGGTTATACCACGTGGTTATCGAAATGGTCACGTGGTACGTTAGATATTTTAAAAGGGGGGCGAAAAATTTTACGTTTTTTATGTAAGTACCCGAAATAGGGGGCGAAAATTTTTGGGTCGTAATTTATGTGAGTACCCGCGATAGGGGGCAAAAAATATTGCAACGTTTTATGTGTGAGACCCATTGAATTAATGGACGTCATTTATGCGCAGTACCATGTACATGTAAAGGTCAAGGGTCCAAAGGTCAATCAGCACCTTTATCTACTACTCTTATTATATATATATAATATATAATATACACTATAATATACAGTATATATACTACATATTACTATAGTTATTATAGTAAAACACGATTACATAAAAAACTCAAAGAATCATAACTCATATTAAATGTAATGAAATCTAAAATTATGTTTACTTCACATAACTTTTATTATATAGAAATTTATTTTTATTTTTATTTTGTTCACTGATAACAATAGTACTTCAATGGAAATTGTGATAAAACCAACAAAAATAAATAAACAACTTAATAAAGAAACCCAATATTGTTATTATTATTACAATAATTAACAACTTTTTATATACCTGTATACAGTACTATAGTTATAATTATTATGCACTTTGTATTCAATAATATAACAAAATGCTAATAAAAGTAACTTTTTATTTAATTATTTAGATATATTTCTATAGACAAAGTTAATGCATTATGCATTATATTATATAATAATTTAATAATTAATTTTAAAAATAATAATTAAAATTATTTAATGTGCAAAATAAAATAAAATAAAATGTTTTTTTTGTGTGCCAAACATTGTATAAACATTTAATTTTTATTGCCATAGAATTTAATTTATATTTTTAGACAAAACACACTTAAAATTGTTGGTTTTTATATGACAATAATGTTATAAATATTATACAAAAAATACAACACAATAAACACACACACAATCTGTTGTTTTCAATAAATGATTAATTTTTATTAGTTTTTCGCACAAATATAGGTACAATATATTGATGAATAAAAACATTGTTTGTTATAATTTTATATAACAGTTATGTGTGTTTGTGTGTATGCATTGAGTTATTGTGTTAATGCCATTAAATCGTAAATGTGTTGTATATAACATAACTTATATATATGTATTAAAAGTATATATATATATATATAATTTATATATCATATATAGTACTGTTTGTTGTACTCAATGTGTGCTCACCTCTAATATAGTGCAACATTACTTTGTGTCTTATATTATCGTTTATTTTGTAGTAATACATGAATTTTGTCAAATATATTAAGTGAACACAAGAATATTCTGGTCTTTACTTTTAGCATTTATATTATTATATAAAAATGACTTTCATTTTATTGCTATAAATAAGGAAAATACGTGATAAACACTATTTACTTTAATATTATAGATATAATTTTGCATTATAAACTCTTTATACAATAAATATCAGAAATTAAATATTATACAGAGTATTTAATATAATACTTTATTTATATTATATAAATATATATATATATACTGTAAAGTTATATTAGTTTGTACATTAACAATTATATTATTGTAATTTTCTTTTATATATAAATGTTCAACAATATTTCATTTATACTAATAATAATTATTGTAATACTAATATTTAGTTATTTATATTATTCATATTTAAAGTTTTTGCTAAATATCTGAGATAGCATTTTGTCTAATAGTCCACATTTTAACTAATCTTATAAGTAATAAATACAGTATATTAAATAGTTTGTTAGTATAGTAATAGATATGCTATTATATCAATATACTGTTTATATAAATTTTATTTATATTGAAACAAAATATCCGTTTAATCACAACTATTGACAAAACACAATAAATATTTAATCAAAAATACAAATCTATAATATTATAGATTACATAATAATTTATTAGTAATCTTAAGTCAAATATATAATATTTTTTAAATATGTATCTTTTTTAAAAATCTTTGAATAATTTAATACAAATAATAAATATCATAAATATTATACAAAAATTTTAAAAAAAACTCAATGACTTTTTTTTAATCGATATTAATTTTTGAAAATAACAACTATTTTAAATTAAATAATAAATAGTAAAATAAAATTAACAATATGTTATAAATGTAAATATTGTGTAAACTTTCTTAAAATTATGGACTATTGACAAAATGTTAGATCATATCCTTTAAATAGTGTTTTATTTATTAACATTTACTATAATTATTTGAATGTTAGGGAAAAAACATTTTAGTTTTTTATACATAAATATAAATATATAAATTATTTAATATATTATAATTATAATTATGATACAGTATATTAACAGTCATTTTAAATTAATAAATCATTTCAGTAGTAGTAATATATAATATATACAATATATTGGAAAATTTTATAAATTTGTCAAAATACTGTATTAATTATTATACTGTATAATAATTTTACTATAATATAAGTATTTTACTAATTAAATAAAATAAATAAATAAATATGCTTATACAGTATACTTCACTTTTACTGTTATATACTGTACATATTACTGTATTTATATTTATATATATATATATATAATGCTAAAATAGCCAAATAAAAAATCTTTGCAAGATAACAAACCAATTTTACAAACATTGACTGTGCAATATTTTATTTTAAATATTTTAATTTATTGTATTACAATTATAATAAATTTACTATAATTAATCAATTTCAAATTTAAATTAAAAATAATATTCAATTATCATAAGATTTATCTGAATAAAAACTATATTTTTTTAAAAAAGCATAATAACTCTAATCATTTATCATAATAAGTGAAATTAGTTTTTTTAAATTTGTTATTCAATATATAATATAGTAGTAATATTAAATATTTAGTTTACTTTTTTCTACTTATATTATTAACTTATAATTTATATAAAAAATACTGTAATAATACAGTAAATAATTTCAAATTTTTTTGTATAAAATTGCATATTATCATTATAAAAATTTAATGTTATTTTTTATTAAGTCTAAGTGCTCAGAAAAAAACCTATCTATTACAACAAATAAGTAATCAAATCATTTTGTGATAAATAACTCTTGAATTATATTAAAAATTAAATAAATAATGAATATTCCGGACATTAACCTAATTATTATAGAATAAAGTGTTCAAACAATTTGTAAATAATTTGCTCTCAATATAATTTCATTTCAATTAATACTATTTTAGTATAAATATTATTTACCAACTATTTAATATTATGTATAAATAATACAAGTAATAATAAAAAAAAGTTAATTAGTGAATCTATTTTTTATATATATAAACTGTTTTATTGTATTTTTTAATTAGTTAAGTCGAAAATGTTATTACACATAAAAATAATTTTAACTGCACAAACATTTTTTTTATTTATGCTAATTTGTTATTTATTTTATTGTATAGTATAGAGTTTACCATCAGATGAGAGTCAATAATTTTGTTGCTAAACTCAGATCTAGATTTCACTGCAATTTTTTTCATATCTATGCATAGATTTGATGTATTCAACATAATTAATATCAACTGTTTAATTAATACCATTCAATGTTATATCAATATTAACTGTAATGTTTTTAATTGTAAAATTGTATAAATACAACAATATTTGGTATATCAAAATAAACATAAATGATATTATCTATTTTATATAACAAATATATACTTAATTTGTAATTACTATAATTTTTAAGTTTTTAGGTTTAATTTCACTTATTTTTTTTGTAGATTACCCTAATAAATATATACTAATCTAAACAATAATATTAAATTTTGTATTAAATTTTTGTTTAAAAAAAACTTGAATTTCACTTTAATTATAAATACAATTAAATATAATTTATAAAAATTATAAAATAATAGATAATTACTAGCAATTAAATAGATAACAATTTTTTCTGTATAAATCTTTTTTTTTTGCAAAACATTTTTATAGTTAAATTCAATGGTTTAGTTGTGATCATTATTGTTGTCAATAGTATCGATACTATTGTCCGAAGACTTTGGACACTTTGTGCGGTCAAATGTCTGATAAAATATACGCAAAGAGAAGAACATATAAGCATTTTTACTACCGAAACGATTGGCCAGAAATGTGTCGTCGAGGGCAGCCTTTTCTAACTCAACCACATTATCGTCCCGAAAGTCTTTAGCAAACACTTCGACTGTTTCGGCGCTCAACACCCGCGGCCATCGCTGACCAGTAAAATGTTCGTAATTTTGTGCTAATATAGTATAAACATAAATACAAATTATATACAAAAATTATCATATTTTTAAAGATTTAATGAATTAGAAAACTATTGAAATCTTATATATATAATATTATATATATATTAAATCAAAACGTTGTTAGTTAACTAATATTAATCAATATTAACAACATTGAAATTCAAATACTGTATATATATATATACAGTATATTTTATATATACATATATACATGTATTGTATGATTAAATACAGACACAATGACCATTATCATATAAATACAGTATCCGTGAATAAAAGTACTAATTTTGTGATAAATTTTAAGTCAATAGTTAGTGTATATTGAAATTCCTATGAGATAAGTGAATGTTTTTATAGATTACTCGTTTCAAATTACATTTCAATTGTGTCCATTCAATGGCATAGTATATATAATATACCGATTGTTAACAATTTCCCCATAGAAATTAACTTAGAAATCAAGTAATTACCAAAAATGAGATAATAAAAACTATGAAATAAATTTTATTTTATCTGTATTTCTTAATAAAAAAATGGTATTTTAGTAATAAAAATATTTTTGTTTTTTTGGTGGTCATCAATTTTCAATAAAACACAAAAAAATAAACACAAACATAAGATATACATTTAAATAAAAAAAAGAGTATACATAAAATCAAACATTAAATATAACAAAACATAATAAATTACATACAATGAATGCCAAATAATATTAATAATATACTATAAAACAAATAAATAATACATTTTTTTAAAATATAATTATCATATATATTAAATATAAAATTTTAATGATTCAACATAGTATTGGCAATATATATATATATTTATTTATATTGTTATATAACATTTATATTGTTTATAGTAATTTTGTAATATTGTCTTAAAATGTAATAAAAATAAGATCCAATCAAAGTAATAACAGTAAATATAATTTTATTTATATATTTTTTAAAATATTTCATTTCAAAATATATATATATATATATTTAATTGGTAACTTATTACTGTAGTTATAATCAATATAATATGTATACAGTATATAAAAAATGTATTCACAATTGTTTAATTAATTACATTAATAATTAATTTTTGTAAATGCAAAACACAAAAATTTAATAAATGCGTTGAAGATATTTATGTTATTTGTTAAAAATTTATTTTTAATTGTTTAAAAATATTGTTTAATTAAATAATCTAAAGTAGCAACAAATATGTCTATTATTTTATTTAAAATTTTTCGATTTAGAAATACTTTTAAAAATAAAATTTTATTTTCATTTTACTTAAACTAGTACTAAAATAATTGCCATTCATTATATTTGATAAATAAATTAATACTTTTTTTGAAAAATGAAATCTTTCAATAAATATATTTTTTTCAATCATTATTTTTGTATTTACTTAATACTGTATATAAATTTTCTATATATTTTTTTTTGTGTTTATTAATACAATATCACTACTAAAGTAAAATAATATCAAACTAAATTTTTAATATAGAAATAGATAATACAGTATATACTTATTGTTAGAATAGGATTTGTAAACATATAATATTAAGTTAGCATTATATATATACTGTATAGTATTATATTAATAAATACTTTATATAATAATAATAATAATAATAATAATAAAATAAAAATAATGCACAAATAAAATGTGTGAACCATTTGAGTTGATAACATATTGTGGAGTAAAAAAAAAGTAAAGGGCATCTAATAAGATAAATGTAGTTATATTTAATAAATATTAATATATATTTATATATCATGTAAGTCCTAAAAATTCACGAAATTCATAGATAAAAATGAAAACAAATTTATGATTGAATTTATTGATGCGAATCATCTCATAAATACGGTATAACTTTATTGTAGAGTACTTTTAGAACATTTATTACTTTTTTTTCTCTTTACTAATAAAAATACCAGATTTATTGAATTATAATTTTAGTAATTATAGTAAAACGATTTAATATTAAACTAATAAAAATGTTTCAAAAATATTAATCTGTTTTTCATTATAAACATTATAAAGATTTACATTACTTTATAAAACAGTTCATATATTTAATATAATTTTATTAATTTCTATGACGAATAAAATATAAATTCTACTAAACAAATAAATTTATAAAAATATTAATTCTTGTGGAAAAATAAACATATAGTTATTGAAAAAAATCACAATATTTATTAATTTTATTTATACTTATTTTAGTTAATTGTTTATAGTTTTAGCTATGATAAAAATTTCAACAACAGTTAATTAAATTATATATAAACTTTGAATAGTTATCCATTTAAAAAGCTCACAATAATATAAAATAAACATAAAAATGTTAAAGAGTTGTATAATGTTATATATATAAGTTATAACTATGTTATATATATATATGAATAAAAAGATTCATATTTTCTGCACTATTTAAATGTTTGATTAAAATACTTTGAATAAGCGTTTTTCTAAAGTATAGAAAACTATTAGAATTTTTTTTGTATATTAATATTTGTTTAAATTTTTTGCTAACACAAGTAATATACAGTAATATATATAAACTAAAGTATACTTAGTATACAGTTTTATAAATATGAATGTAAACGAAAATAAAAGAATCATTTTTCTAAAATATGAATACTATTGATATAATTATTTTATATTTAAAAGTTTTTTTGACAAAATATTTTTTTGAGTTGTGATGAATAGATCAAATCATTTAAAAAAAAAAGTTTTATATTATCATATAATACAATATATTAAGTTAGTTTTATATTACATTAAACAAGATTTTGTTATATCTAATTTAAATATAAAAATTCTATTGCTCAAAAATGTTATCAATTTATTATTATTATTTAGGAACTGAAAACTTTTATTTACTTTATAAATTAACAATTAGTCAAAATTATTCATAATAATAATAATTTAAATTCAGTAAATATTGTCAATATAAGTACATTATTTTCAATGTACAGCATATATATATATTATGATAAATAATTTAAATAATATTTTATTTTAAAAATAAGATTCACAACAGTATAGCATCAATTGCATTAACAACAAAAATGATAACACTGTTTACATATACAGTACAATCTAATTATTATTAAAATTTGTGGGGAATTTAAATTCATAAATAAATTAAAAACTTGTAAATTTAATCAAATTGTATGATACTTAAAATGCATAATAAAAAAAATAATTTAAAAAAACATATTTATTAAAACATCTGCAGTACATAATATACACAATATTTATATATATGATATGATTTGACAATACATTAAAGTGAAGTGCAGGTGCTCTTCAAATATGAATCTATAGACATATCTATAGTACCAGTATTTGGTAAATACAAACTAACCTTTATTGTTATGTTATTAGTCTAACATATTATATATATATATACAGATTAATAATATAAACATATGATTATATCTAAAGTAAATATAAAGTGCAAGTAATTACCTAAATATTGGTTAACCCAATCGGAAAGCCTTTGTTTAATGTCAGAAATGGTGTCACTTTTCTTGTAAGGCAAGAATATTTTAGTCGATAAATAGATGGGTGAAGACAGTACTGTGCGTCCGATGGCTCCCTGGGCTGCCTCTACAGGCTTAGTATATGTCACACGGAATATCCTAATGTAATCCCCGTGCTCTGTAAACGCCATTAGATGTGTTTTGTGTTGACTTACTAGTTTGCAACAAAATAAATAAATAAATATCTAAAATATAAGTATTAATAATATCAAAAGTAATACATCATTTCATTTATTTTTTATATTGTAGTATTAACTTATATAATAGTCTATTAACTCATATTTTTATTTTCTTTATATATAAATTCTGATTATTAGTAAAGTAAATCGTAAAATTAATTTTAAACATAATTATATTGATATTATATATATATTACGATTATTTTAATTAAATTTAATCTTTTTTTTCATATTAATGCTTTTCTAAATAGAAATTTAAGATATATTTTAATTAGAATATAAGTTACATTCAGCCAAAACAAAACATAAACTAAAATAAATAATAAAAACACAAATATACTGTATTTAATACAAAAATCTAGAAATAAAAAATAAAATATACACTAATTAGACTGTAATTATGATACAACTGATTGATGTATACTATGACTATGTGTTTAATCTTTTTTTTTTAAATCTCAAAGGATTTACAATTGATTACGACTTTGTCTTCGTTAACATAAATACAGTATAGAATTATTGTCCAGTTTTTGACAAACATTTTCAAATCAAATTCCTAATTAACAAAATCGCAATCTGTTAGCAATTTTTTATAAATATTATTTATAATAGTAATAAATACAGTATTAGTTGCAATATTATTATTAGCATTATATAAATAAGTTTTTTATGTCTATATTGGAAACTTATAAATAAAGTTTAGTCTAAGATAATTACAAATATTTTTTAATTAATAAATTATTAGCTTAAATTTTAAGTGCAATTATTAAAATAACTTTATAAAAATACTGAAAATTATCTAGAATTAATAAAAGCAAACATTTATTATTTGACTCTATATTATACAGTATAATAGAGTTATTTAATTTAAAATAGTAGAGTAAAACTATTAATTTACATGAATGAATCAATGACATACAGTATTTATATATATATATATATATATATATATTTATAAATATATTTATAATATAAAAAATATGTGTCAATACATACGAGATTTCATTTTGATATCAATGGACTGTGCGTTACGGAAATTAATGTCCGGATTTTCTGAAAGCCAACCAAAGGCTCTCTCAATCACTTTATCAAAGGTTTCATACTTTGGTCTCTTAAAGAAAGTCCCCCTCGATATCAATTGTGGCGCAAAGTCAACAATGCCTTTACAAATAATAATAATAATAATAATAATAATAATAATAATAACAATAATAATAAATATATATTACAATAAATATATGACATATAAAGCTATTGAATATGAAGGGAAAAAATGCAAACTTTGTGTCATTAAAAAAAAAAACAAAACAAATAACAAACAGACAATAATATTCTTATTGTTGTTATAAATGTATTGCTATTATTCAGTGCACAATAAATATTAGTCAGTATATTATATATTTGTATAGAAATTATTTTTATATTATTTTTTTTGTGTTGAAGTAGTAGTAGTAGTAATAGTAGAATTTTATATGATATTATTTTTATTATTATTAGTATTAGTATTAGTGTGTAATATACTGTGTATCGCACACTAATATATTGGAATTTTATTTGATTTAATAATCAAAATCTTTTTTCTATCATTAATCATTTGCTGACTTTAACTATTGATATATTACTTTATATATATTATATATATATATATATATATATATATATATATATATAAATTCGTGTCAAACAATATTAAAAATATGAATGTTATTAATATTATATTATTTTGTATATTATATGAATATTATTATTATAAATATTACTCTATGTATAATATATCGTAAATAATGTACGTATTATAAAATATTGTTTAAAAAATAAATATATAAATATAATTGATTTGCTTTTGAAAAATACACAATAAAATTGATAAGAAAAATCTATTGTTAACACATAATATTACTTTTACTACAACAACAACAAAATAATAGTAAATTCATAGCAAATGTGATGTCTCACCGATTTCTTCATTTGAAGGCAAACCCATTTCATAGAAAACTCTAACAATAAATACATTTTTGTTAGAAAGAGACGAAAGGGACACTTCTGTGTCTATTTTCCAATCATTGGTCGCATCATATGATAAGCACTCAATTGTTATGATTTTGCCCTCCAGTCCTCCCGATCTAATCGTATCGTTCATACGGTTTATCACATCATCCAATATTTCAAACGATTTACCAGAAAAATCGCTTTCATCTTTGTTTTCAGGTATCAAATCTATATAACTGTTTGAATAGTATAACATAAAAATAACATAATATTATCAAATTTAATTAAGTTTAAGATATCATTTTATCTTTTTATATATATATTTGACTCTCTATATAAATTCATTTGATTTATTTTATTAATAATTTTTTTCTCAATAAACCCTTATTTATTTTATATACGGTATGAGTGATTATTATAATAATTATAAATAAAACATTGTCTATAACTTAATTGTATTTGGATTTCTAATGTATCGTATGATAACTTGCGGTTAATCTTAAGTTATTTAACCCAAATTGTATGTTAAATAATAAATCAAATCATTAAAAATAATAATTAAAATTATAGTATTTTTTCTCTTTCTATTTTCACTCGAGTAAATTGACTGAAACAATGATCCATATCATTGATTGAAACAAAAATAGCATTTTTGTTGTTTCGGTAAAAATCACTAAAAAAATTACTTTATAACAGTTTGAGTTAAATATTGTCAATTATTTTTGTTGTTATATATATAATGTATTGTAAAATACTATATTTTTGTTATAGTGTAACAAAACTTTTATCATTATTTTATTTTTTATACTATAAAAAAGTTATTTTAGATTTTTTAAATATATATATTATTATTAATAAAATAAATACTATATAAAAATATTTATATTCTCAGTTTATTTTAATAAGATTTGTTCAAAAATTTAAAAATTATACTACAGTAGTAAAAATTTTAATAATTTAAAATTTATAAAAAAAATATATGCAATCAATAGTTTATGTCTACACAGTTTGTGTCTAGACGTGTGACCAAAACAAATGTCAAATTTCATAAAAATCAAATCCCCATTAAATTATTTATATTTTGTTAACAATTTTTTCCCAAAGTATTACTTTTTATTTATTTATATATATATATATATATTTACAAAATTGCAAAATATCTGTAAATATTTAAAAGATATCTGTATTTAAATTTTTTTATTGATAAAAGTTTTGCACTTAAATGGGCAATGATTTCAAAAGTTTAATTTTTCAATAAATAAAATTGAGATTACAATGAGATTTTGTATAAATCATGTTTTATAAATTATAGAAGACTAACATTACATGATTTGCTAATAAATTATATTATAAACGCAATTTAGCTATAATAATCTGTTTATATACTGTATATATATATATTATTTATGTCTAATATTATTGAAATAAATGATAATTCGTGGCTTAAATGTCTCAAAAGTATTTTATTTTTACATTTAAAGAAATAAAATAAATTTTATTTGTTTTAAAGTTTCAATGATTTATAAGTTAGTAATATTATAGAAAAACATTAAATTATTATTATGTTTTTTTTATATAAAATAGTTTTTATTATAATATACAGGTAGATACTGTATAATCGTTAGTATAGACTTAATTTTAAACACAATTTGTTTAAATCAATATTTATACAGTATAATCAATATTATCATCAAAATTTACTAACAATAAACTAATAATTAAATTACGTGATTTACATATACAGTATTTGTTATTCAGAAATTAAATAATTATTGCTAAAATCAATATAAAATATTAAAATAATTATAAATATAAATAATGTTTTTGTTATATTGGAAATTAATATTAAATTACAGTAATTATGCAAAATATGTCTTTTAATAAAATATTATCATAAAAATTACCGGTAATAAAACAAATGATAAAAATTAAATAAAGATTAATAACATTTACAAAAATATTATTATTAATGTTTTGATTTAAATAATCAATTGCTGTACATCACAATAAAATAATTTTATAACATTACTTAAATAATATTTAGAAAATTATTTTATAACTTTTTTTTAATTATTTCTTAATCTTAATTTACTGTAAAGAAAATTGACGATTAGGGACTAAAATAAATGGTTTGTAAAATACAAAATATATTGCAAAACTTGCAAACAAACAATCAATTTGCTTAATAAATCCTATCTTTAAAAGAGATTTTCATTTATATATATACAGTATATACCTTTGATAGTGTTTTTCCATCCAAAATGAAAAATCAAACAAAAACCAACTTTTAGTTAAACTTTTTTTTGTGAAAACATTAAAAGCATTTTATTATTAGTTTTTTCTTTATAAAAAATATTACTCAAACTCATAGAAATGACATTTTTACAAAAAAAGATAAAAAGTTAACTATTTTTTGTAAAAAAAAGATTATTAAAAATCTCCGTAAAAATGATTGTCGCCGTAAAACTATGGCTTAGAAAAGTGGGATTTAGACAATTGGCTGATTAATAAATATCTTATACACTGTTTATATATATATATATATATATAGTTTTTACAGTATATAACATAAGAAAAAAAGTTGATATTGAAATACACGCCAATCTTTTTTTTCAAAAATTATTACTAAAAAATACAGTTCCGTTTGATAGGTATTTACGGAAATAAAATTAAAACTTTTTTCTAATATTTTTACGGAATTTTTTAATATATATATATATATATATAGTGTAATAACTAATAAAAAACAAAAAATAATATCTTTAAATTTAATATAAAAAATAATATTTTTATTGTCATTAATATATGCGTTACATTAATATATGTATTATACAATTTTGTAATTGTTAAATTATAAATTTAACTAAAAAATACTATATTATATTTTATGATTTAAAAGTATAATAATGTATTATAAATTGTAAAATACACTGTTATTATTAATAAATAATTCAAGTTATTTACCAATACATTCATTTTTATTATAACATCAAATTAAGCATTTTATATAAGTTTTGTTTTAACGAAAAAATATCTTTAACTTTAATTATCAAATTTTTTGAACTTATTGTAAATTAATATTTTTAAAATTAATAAAATACATTAAAAATCTTGTATAATTTTTTAGTTATGGTAAAACAAATTTTTAATAAAATTATCATAACATTTTTTTTATTTCCTTATAATGAGTTAATAAATATTAGTATTTTTTAAAACTAAATTATAAACTTTTTACACTCAGTACCAAAAGTCATGATTTAATTATTAATATTCAATAAATATTAATACCGTATGAAATATTATTTTTTTTAAATTTACTTTAAATTTCAACAATAAGACGACAGATATGTATAAATTAAAAAATTTTATTAATTCACACATAGTTTATATAAAAAATAATAACTAAATAAACTTTATATTTATATTTAGTTTTAATTTTTTTAAATAAAATATAAATCAATATTATAATATAAAGTTTGAAAATATCTTGTTTAACTTTAAGTAGATTATCGTATATTTTTCAATAAAAATATTTGTTTAGTATTTTAATGTAAATGCTTACCGTAATATTATTAAATATATTATAATTTTGAAAAATTTTATTAGATTTCTATATATGCAATATATTGTACATTATTGATGAAATTTAATATATTCTTATAAAAAATTGCTTATATTTATTATTATATTTTTTATATCAAAATAAACATAGTGTTAAATTTTTATTGAAATTCAAAATATATTGAAGATAAAAAAATTATTGCTAAAAAATTCATTTGTTAAATTATAAAAATATTTAAATTAAATTATTTTATTTTGAGTCAAATCTATAACAATCAATTACTATATTTAAAAAAATATTTAGATATAAAAAGTAACATAAAACCAATAAAACTAATTAAATTAGATTAGTTTATGATAATTAATAAATTTTATTAAATATGATAATTTTTATTTGAAATATTATAATATATTACTAGTAAAAGATAATTTATTTCAATTGATGTTATTTATATAAGTTTTTTAAAATAACTAATTTAAATTTTAATACATTTTAGCGTATGCTTTTTTATATACATTTAACTAGTTTTATTTATATAATATTTGCATATTATAAAATATTAATAATATTTATGAAAATTTTAATTTAAATACTACTGGAGAAACATAACTTATTTTAAATAAATTTAGTGTAAAGTTGCTTATCATAGATATACTATAGATATACAGTGAAAAGCAATATAAGAGATATACAGTAATAAAGTGTTACCTATTTATGCCGTTTTATTGCCTTTTAGAAAGCATATATATATTGAATGTATTCACTAAAATTTATTATATAAATAAAAATGAATTAATAAATTATATTGCTAAAAATTATTATGATAAACAACAATTATTTATCATAATTATTTAATAAGTATTAATTTTATATAATATTATACTATAATATTTAAAGGTATCAAAAATTATAATAATCATAAACTACAATTTTTTAACACTAGTTACACAAGCTGTATTAATAATGCTAAACATTACATTAACAAATATAAGCAAATTAGACCAAATCAGTACATTTATTCAATTTTATTGTAGAAAAATACAAATTAAAGTAATATTTAGTAAATTATTGACAATATTGATGAACTCTATCTACAGTATTAAAGTGGATATACTGTATATACAGTATATTTATACTGTAAATCATTGAGTATATACAAAGTATTTACTCTTTTTAAATGTCATCGTATGATCACAACTATGTTTAAACCATTTCGTATTATATATATATCATATATTTCATACTTTAGGTCTCTCTTTCATTCACTAAAAAAGTAATCATATTTTTGCAAAAAAATCTCTATATTAAGAATTTAGTACACATTTGATGGATTCAAATATTTTTGTAGACATCTATGCAATGATAGTGTCATTCAAAGCTTAGTAAAGATATTTCAATATTAATTTTTATAAACCCGACTCACTTTAATAAATAGTAAGTTTGACGACTACATGACTACTAATCTATAATAACTAATAATAACGAGTAGTCATGCAATTCATGTGTAATATACAGTATTTCATATAAATTATATATTAATATAGTATTTGTCGTTAATTTGTTAAAACATTAATTCTTAATTATATTACATTAACGTATGTTATATTTAATAATAATAAAACAAATTTAATAATTCTTGTTTTAATTTAAATATATTATCGTATAAAAAAATAAAAAATTACTTATGAAATTAAAAAATATATAAATATCGTAGACTAATGTTAAGTAATAATAAATTAATTTGACAAAAAATAAATAACTGGAAATTAAATTATCATAATAATAATCATAGCTAATGAAAGCAATCCTTTATATATAAAATTATATATATATATATATATATTTATTTTTTTTATATAATTAAATATTTCAAGTGTTTGTGTATTAGGTGTAACTTAATCACTAAAAATATTGATTTCTTAATTAAGTAAAAATAAAAATTATTTTTTACCAAATTAAAAATAATAAAAATTTAATTATATATATTTAATAGTTTATTATAAAGAAATAGAAAAAGCACAGTTGCATTTTAAAAAAACCCAAAAATAAAGATAACATTTTAAATCAATGAAGTATTTATTGACAGAATCATAGACTTATATACTATAGGGGTTTCTATCAGTCAATTCACATACAAACTCAACATTGAATTGCTATATAAAGTACTGTATTATACATTGTGTTTGTATTTATTATATATATATAGTATAAACCGTATAAACCGTATAATACTGTATGTGTGTTGTCTCATACCTCAGATGCGAAACGTATAGTCATTTACTAGAAATTTAATGTTATTTTACTTTCGAGATCCCATTGAAACAGTGGGAAAAAGTTTCATTAAAGTCAATAATAAATATTTGTGTAGTTTATGTGACATTATTGAGACATAAAAATCCTAAAATTTACTGTAAAATAGTAGACATAATTTTTATAAAATAAAAAAACATATTCTATACTATTTTTTATGTGACTATTGAATTAAGATTTACAATAATATAATAATTATATTGTTATAAATAGTATTTATTGATTAAATATAAAAATCTACTATAAAAGCTGTGAACAATATTTTTTAATTTGAAATTTTAAGTAATAAACTTGAATTCAATTTGAATTATCATTTTTTTCATTTAAAAAAGTAATAAAATTAATGTTTGCAATTTATCAATATATTCAAATAAAATTTACAAATATTTATTTAGACACATTTTGTGCCTTAGATTTATATGTCAAACAAAATTAGTGTAATTATATCAACATTGCGCTTGAAATCAACATCAATAATGATTGTAAACATTATTATGTTAAAACATTTGAACATTTATTAGTAATATAAAATGTGAAATTACAGTAAATATCATAGCTATTAATGTTTGTATAAAAACAAAATATATATATATATATTTAACGAATTATATAATTAATTAACAAAAAATCATTATTTAATTAATAAATTCTGAATAATTGCTAATCATTAATATATTTAATCTAAAGTAAGATTACTGTAATGTAGTTAATAATATATTGTATATTTTTAAATTACGATTACTATTATTATATTTATTTATTTATTTTGTATAATATAGAAATAATAAAACACAATAGAAATAAACTATAAGACAAATATAATAACTAATTTCTATTTATTTAGAAAAAATAATCATTAAATTAAATAGCAATTGAATTTATATAATAATACTAAATGATATTATATTTTTCAGTGTTTATTATTTATAAGATAAGAAAATACATAAACTATAAAACATAATAATTAAATTAAAGTTTGTTTTATAATCTTATAAAATAATTATATATTATGCCATTGTTTAGACTACAATACAAACTATTGTACATAAAATAATGTGTATTATTAATAACAGTAATTAAGAAGTGATATAAGAGTTAAATTACAACATTATTTTTGCTAAAATATTAAAAAATATTTTTAAAATATGAGCTATAAATTTCAAATTGCAATTATTATTATTATCTTTTTGAAATTTCAAAACATATACTAATATTATATAATACTACAATATTTGTTAATCCGTAAGTGTTTATAAATATTGTTTTTAAAATTGCAAATAAAAATTATAATATTTTTTTGTATACAAACCTCAATACTTGACATACATTGGTCTCATTTTTGCCACAGTTTTCTTGTCTCTTAATCCATATTCTGTTAAATTTAATTAAATCTTTATTTTATATATAATTAATAATAATAATAAAAATAATATAATATTTTTAAAAATATATTTATTGAAAGTTATTTTATATAACTTTGCATTACTTTAGTTATGTAGTAAAAAAAAGTTACAAATGAAAAAAAGATATTCCTGTTTAATATATTTTATACATTTTATAGTTATATTTAGTTAAAACAATAAACATATTGTATTATATAACTTTTATACTGTAGATGCTTTAAAATCTCAAATTTTTCAAGTATATATATATATATAATATTATAAATCTTTACTAATTATATATTAAATAAATTTTATTGATATATTTAAATAACATTTAGATGTTTGTCACTAATAGATTAAAGACATACAATGCAAATAAAGTCAAATACTGTAAATAGTTGGATAACTAATTATCATAATTATAGAAAATAATAATAATAACAACAAAAATATTAATTATACTAAATATTATGCACAATTAATCTGAATGTTATTTATATTTTTATTATTTATATTTAAATCAAATATTTAATAATAAATTTTTTTTATCCAAAATAATTATTTCATTAGAATCTTCTAGTCATTGATTTCTAAAAATAATACTTATGTTTAATATACTGTAGTTATAATAATAATAATAATATCATAACAATAATAATTATAATAATAGTATACTCAATAAGTTATATATGATGTAATGGACATAAAAAACACAACTAAAAATAACTATTATTATTATTATAGTTATCAAAATGTAATGTACTATTAATGAAACAAAAAAAACTAAGATTTTAATTAAACTCAATTACCGTAAAGCTTTTAATACATTGTTTTTTTCGGAGCCATAGATATAAAAACAGCAATCATTTGGTCGCAATTCATTGCAATTTTGTTGGTCATTGTATTTATATAATAACATAACTGTTTCGCAGTTAACCACTCGCCAGTCGGAGTTACGCTGAAGCCATTCATTTGCCGTATCAATCATTGTACTAATAATTTTAATTTAAGAAAAAAATTTAATATAAAATATATATATATATATATATATTTAAAAATGTATTATCATATCTATTATCACAATAATTAGCATACAATTTTAAATTATGATATTTTTTATGTTTTATGTAAGGTAAAATTTTTAAGATAGTTTGTGTTTAGACTCTGATATAATATTTTATTTTTATCAATTTATTATTATATTCAAATATGATTTATTAGATATAATAGTTTAATTAATAATATTGTTTTATAATAAAAGTTTTTATGTTATTATCAAATACTCATGTTTATACACTATTTATTATTTATGCATTATTTTATATAATTAATTAAAAATATGTAAACTTTTTAATTACCTCACAAAGAGAGAGAAAGAGAGTGTATTAAAGTATAATTATAATAGTTTACAATTTTGTTAGTTTTATTTAAAACAAAACACCTAAAAAAGTATTACCACTAAAACTATTGAAGTAATAGTTGCTTAGCGACTAAAATATATATAAAAAAGTCTTTTCTCTCATAATGTTTGGAGAGAGAGATTGCAATATAATATTAATACAGAATATAACAGAATGAGTGTATTGTATATAAAAATAATGTGTTTTATGTATAAAAAATTAATTTATTGTTATTTCTTTCAGTTAATTAACAAATACATATATTTGTCTATATATACAGTAAAAAAACAACAATAGTTTACCCAAAAAAAATGGCACAACAAAATAAAAACATAACATTAAAAAAGTGTTTTATTATAGAGCACTGTATCAGATAATTTTGATAAAATTATACGATATTCTACTTTATATTAAACTGTTTAACATAAGTTGTGTCAGTTATTTGATATTAGTTTTCTAAATGCTAATCATCTTATGTATAAAATTATATATATATATATATATATATATATATATATATATATATATACTGTATATAATCATATTGAAATTACATAAAATATTTATTTTTGTAGTCTAATTATTGTTATACTCAATATGAATATTAGACGTGATATACACACACACAAAAAAACATAAAATAAAACAATATTAATAAAAAAAAACAACATTTAAATGCAAACCTGAATGAATGGTATTGAACCTCACACTGAGGTATAACAGTTCCCGACCTTTTGATAACTGAAGGCACAAAATCAACAAAAGTAAATCTAACGTTAGGGTCAGCCGTCACGTTGTGGTCCAATATTAGTGGTTTCTCCGGTTGAAAGTTCTCCCGGTGCAGGTATATTGCAAATGCCATTACTAATTACTAGTTATTTGAGTTTTTTATAATTAATAACTCATTAAACAATATGTACTTTTAGTATATAATAATATCGAAAATTTTATGCATATATTAATATATATATATATATATATATATATATATATACGATATTATAACACAATTTTCCAACAAATGCTTTTATCTACACATAAAAAAATATTCAATAATTTATTATTATCCTTGATTTTTGCAAAGAAAAAATTTTGAATTTTTTTTTATTCAATCATTTTACTGTATATTTATTTATATATCAAACTATTTATTTATATAATAAAGTTGCACTAATAATAGAAAGAGATGCTAACAATAAATGCATTGAATATAAATGCAATTTTTTTATATGAATGCAGTAGTAGTAATACATACATTAATATTTAGTAAAACATTATTATTATTTTATATTTTTGTTTGTTTGTCAGTTTAGTTGTTGTATTTCTTTACTTAAATTAATGAATTATATTTATATGAAAATAAAATCCAAAAAAAAATGTATTAATATATTATATACTGAATAATAATAATAAAAATAAAAAGCAAATGAAAAATAGCTTCAAAGTTTAGTTTTTTGCTTTTTTTATATTAAAGTAGTAGCAAAAAAACTTTATATACGGTATATATAAATTATATATATATATACAAAATATATATTATATTTACCTCCTTTAGGTTATGTCAAAAAAACTTATTATTATTATTATGTTTTTCTTCTTATAAATAAATTGTAGTTTTTTCGTACAACACTTTCTTTTACAAAAAAATGATAAAATTGAGTACAATATGCGGTAAGTTATTATAAATCTTGTTAGTGATAAACATGTGGCAAACGGCCGACAAACACATATAGCAACGGTATGTTTGATACTGTATAGTAATAGTAGTAGTAATAGTTGTAAACACTTTGGCATCTGATGTCTCTCTGCACCGGTATATATGTCTGTCTATTAAATAGTAAGTCAATGAAATGCAATGTTTTTTGCTGGATATGAATACACCTTCCAGTTGTGTCCACAACTGACACTTTACTTCCAAATCCATGAGCGCAACGCTTTTCTCTCGAAAGATAGGCTTAGTTTAGTATAGTATAACCCGAGTCTGCGCTCAGACCATAGAAATTGTTCAATATTTTTCGTATATTATATTATTGTTATATAACATCCCATACATTGGGTGATAATAATAATAATAATAAATAATTAATCAGGTAATGTAATGTACAATCATTGCAAATGTATAGTATTTTTTAATATAAGTAACAGTAGTTTCTATTGTTATTAGAAAATAAGTATCGTTAATAATTTTGATAATTTCTATATATTGAATATATTCTATAATATTATTTAAAAATTAATTATTTATATTAAATTATTAGTTATTTAATTAGTTGTCACAGACAGCTCAATTAAAAAGTAATTATAAAATTATTTATAAATGCCTATAATTTGCATAATATAAATCAATGTCAATTTAGTTTTTGGTAACAAAATAGTTATTTTTGTTATATTGCGTGTAAATTGATGTCAAATTCTAGTTATTAGTGTTCACAGAATTGTATCATTGATTCTGTAATTTCTGAAAATAAATTAATTCATTTGTTATTTAGTAATTCTGTAATTCTGTTGCTCTATAGTTACGCTTATATATGACTTATAAGAAGAGGAAAAAATCAATATAAATGAAAAATATCGAAATAAAAAGTTTTTACTTTTATTTTATATATTTAAATCATTTATATGATATCTTTATAACATTTATCTATATTTAATAGCATTTTTATTATTATCTTTAATTTTAGTAATTGATATAAAATTATATATTTTCAAAAATAGAAATATATATGTAATTGTTTTTTATATTTTTGAATCTCTAACTTAAATTTGTTTTATACGTTCATTAAATATTATACTGTGTTTGATATTTATATTATGCAATACTATGATTATCACAAAGGAATAGTAATGCTATTTGTTTATAATATTTATATTAAAGTTTTGATATACAATATAAGCATTTATTTCCGAATATTTCAAATAATTTTATTTGTAAATATTTAAAATTATTTATTTACACAATTTTAAAAATGGATTTCTAAATAACTAACTTTACAATAATTCTTATGATAAATACACGATAAAAAATAAAGGATATAAAATTAAAAATCTCAAAACTTATAACAATTTTTGTTTAATTATTATCTTTGAAAATCACAACTTTAATATGGTTACAAAGTTCTTAAACATAATATTAATATGTTTAAAATAAAATAATTTAATATTAAAAAATTTAGTATAAATAAGTTATTATATAGTAAAATAATAACAGCAATATTGATTTTAAGCAAAGATAAATAATATACTGTAATAATATACTAATTAAAAATAATATCCAGACTTTGATTTAAAATAATTGTATAATTATTAATTGTTTTATTTATTTATTTATTAATTTTAGCCAGAAATAATTATCTAGTTATTAAATTTAAAAATCTAATTTAAAACAACTTATGAAATATTTTTTTTAATTTATAATATCTGTGTCGACAAATATCATACAAATTATAAAAATATTATTAAAAGTAATCAATATAATATATATTAGATATTGCTGAGAAAACACAGATAGTTTAAATATTGTTTGTTTAAAATAGTTTTGAATATTTTAAATAACAATAAAATTAGACATATTTTTTTGAGAAATAAAAATATATATTTTTTTAATTAAAGAATTACATTAAGCTATAGAAATAAAGATTACATTAAAACAAAATATTATAATTAGAAATAAATATTTAAAATTTAATGAATATATTAGACAATTATTATTATTTATAATATTATTATAATAAGATAATAAATTATTATTACAATAACAAAATTTACTTATTTTTTTAATTAGGTACAAAAAAATTACCTGTAAATATATTAATATTTTAAACCATAATGTTTGAAATGAAAACTGTTTATTAATCATAATTATTTGTATAATTAATAATCGTAATTGTTTTTTAACTGTATATTTATATTTCTAAAAACATTAATATCAAGTCTAAATAATTGAATATTCCTTAAAATGTAATTATAAAAAAAAAATTCAATAATTGTCAAGTATTTTTAAAGAATTACAACAAAATATACAAAAAACATAATACAATATATTTATGTAAAATAAAAATAACATTATTTATAATGTATAATTCGATTCTTGTATTAAAAAAACAAAACACATACACAAAAAATTTACAAAATTTTTTTGTCTACAAATAGTTGCTGTAATATCATCTCTCAATACAGGAATCACAACAGTAAAAGTATAGACAATACAATTCATACTGTTATTGCAATATTTATTAGTATCGTATATAATATACCAGTATAAACTGTATATATATATCAGACTGTTATAAATTATAAATACAATAATAAATATGTATATAATATAAAATTTTATATAAAAATTATATCGGATAATGGGAAACAATATTATTATATGATTACTATAGTATAGATTAGATTGTATGTAAAAAAATCATGTAAAGAATGTATAAGTAGAGTTGTAATAAATATTGTAAAAACATGTATTTTTAAATAATGTATGAAATTTTTTTTAATACATAATATATTAATATAAAGGTTACGAGTTTTAAGTTTAAATTTAAATCCATTTGACTAATAAATAAATTAACAAATCAATTGGTATTTTAGTTAATGACTGTCTTATCAATCACTATCGTCATCATCGTTATCGGCATTAACTCTAATGTTTGAACCATTGTTTTGCATTGAATTACTGCCAGAGTTGTCATTTAGTATGCCGTGTCTACAGTATAAAGAAATAGTCAATAATAAAATCAACAATCAATAACATTATTTATAAATTTATATCATTAGACAGTAAGAGTATATTTTTGAAATAATCATTAAATATAGTCTTACTCTACAAGAAATGTCTCGACATCTGTTGATACAAATTGATCGTTGAATTCATCGCTTAATCGGACAAAGTTGGCCACAAGATTACCCGATTTATAAACCAATAGTGCGGGAACACCACTTTTGGACTATTAGTTTCAAATTAAAAATAAAGTTTTTTTAAGAGATAATTAATAACAACCCATCACTGAAACCAATCAGTTAATGCTGAGTGAGTGACTGATTGGTCATTTAGATATCAAATAAAAAATGCATACAAAATGGTGAGACATTCCGGCCACCGAAGCCTCGATCGCACAAAACTTGATATTAAAGTATTGTTTGGCCAAAGAGTCGAGACATTGGTTCATTTGTTTACACTGTTCAACGTTTTTCGCAAAGATATGGCATATAATTATCACAAACTTCTTCTCCTTATCGATGGCCTCCAAGAATTCAGAACCAGAACTCAATAGCAATAGTTTGCCGAAAACAGGTCTGTCTTTACCATTGCTGTCAATCTGATCCATCATTTCTTGCATCCTTTTAATCATATATTCTTTAAGAACCGGATCATTCATATCGTCCAATTCGTCCTCATTGTCGCTGTTGTTCTTGTTTTGTGTCAACTCTTGATCCAAATGTGGATTACAAGTCAGGGATAACTTCTTCATGATCTCTAATTTTTGTCTATCATCTGCTTCTCGCTGTTCGCTCTCAAACTGTTTATATCTTTGCCAATCTTTGATCACACCTTTAGGTCCAGTCTGTCATTACAATCATAGAAATATGTGTTTAAATAATTGATTCAAATATTATAATAACATTTGACTATAAAATACATTAACAGAATATCCATTCCATCGGTTCCACTGTTGTTGTTGTCTTTGTTGTCCTCCAAAGTCATCATTTGTTGTATCATTTGTACTATTATTGGTCTGATCTTTGTCACCGTTATCTTCATTATTGTCTTCTTCTTCCTCCTCATCACTACTGCAATAATATTGTCTTTTCTCACCCAATATCTTGTCCTCTAATGTACTCATTATTTAATGGTCTCTATTTAGTTGATGTATAAGATATTCACCAATAGATCCAATGATCACTATATTTATTGACAATAAATATGATTTTTATACACAATTTTCAATCAATCATATTATTTGACAATATTTTTATAACAAATTATTTATGCAAATATTAATGTAATATTTATTTTTTATTATTATTTAAAAAATCAAATGTTTAATACATAAACCAATTAAATTAAATTACAATTATTTTATAAATAATTATAAATGCAATTAAAAGTAAACAATATTTGTGTTAATTATATGTTTTCAATATTTATGTATCAATAATACAATACAATCGTTATTATTATTATTATTATTATTATTATAATATACAGTAAATGTCTCAATCATGACATCTGGTGTACATTATTTGACTGTCAATTCAATTGAATTGCTTATCATATAATTGTAGTACAGTTTAGTCTAACACTAAACCAAAAATGATAAGCAATTTCTGTATTACAGACAAATTGTGTAACACTTTTGGCAACCATTACTCCATTACTATTATATAATTATTATGAATAATTGATATTTAAATACAAATTTTCAATAAATAATAATAACAATAATTTCAAAAAATAAATAATAAAATTAAAATTAAATTACATGACAATTAATAAAAAAAAATTAACAAAAAAAAAATTATTTATCAAACGTCTTAAAAACGTTGACTTAATATAGGAATATATGATTAAAATAAATAAGAAATTTTTATTTTATATAATTTTTCATAATTAAAAATATTAAAATTGATATATAATTTAACATAATATTAGCTAAACAATTATAATTATTTTTTTTGGTCTTTTATATTATTTTATAATTTGTTTTTTCTTTTTTCTGTTATAAATTAAATATATAATAAAAATTAATAAAGTAATATAAATATATAAATTGAAATTAAAAATAAACTTAAAATCATTTTTTTCCTATAAAACTGAGTTACAAAATGGTTACATAATTTTTTCATCATTTCTCAGTTATAATTAGTGATATTTTTTTTGTTGTGTGGAAATAGTATACAATTATTACACATTATTATTAATTAATTAGATGTGATTTTTTAGCAATCGATAGTACTCTTAATGTCGCATAATATTCAATAATACAGATATAGATGACAAAACTGGTGTCCATTATTTCGATGATTTGTTTTTTGTAATTATCTTTTTTTAATACATTTTTAATGCAAAATACTCACTCAAAAGTCAAAGTTAATGTCTAAGAGTTTGGAAGCTCTTAAAGACATTTAATTAGCGACACTTAACGCGAGCTATTAATGATAGCTTTTGTATACATTTAAATCAGAGGTCATTATCCAATCCAATGTCCATAAGTCCGGTTCATTTGCCTTTTTTGTTGTGCCTTTTGGCCGAATCCGAGCACTTGCGGCACAACTCCAAAGACATCCTATTGTTGTTCACATGAAAGCAAATGCCCGCTGACTCTCCCTTAGCGGCAATTCGGGTGGATTTTCGGACACTCTTGTCGTCCAACATTTTGTCCGATTTTTGTAAGACAGGTTCGTCAGTTGATTGAAAATGACTGCCAATCAGTTGGACAGTCGGCACATTAGACATGTGTTTGATTATAGCAGCAATGGCCGAGTCGTTAGCAAGTAATCCTTCCAAATAACCAATACGTTTGTCTTTTTCAGCGACATTCACACGAAGATCAACAATAATACTATCCTTTTCCTTGTTGTCCTTCAAAGCGATGTTAAGCTTTCGTCTCATATCTTCTGATTCACGCTTTTTCTTCTCACGATTTTCTCGCGCAGCGATAGCATTACGAGACATACACTTATTAACACCGGATGGCTTGCGGCCAACTTTGGCCTTAGGTTTGCCGGTAACTGCGGTGGCAATCGAAGCATTATCCGAATCAACGTCGCTATCCTCGCCGTCGTCATCGACATAAGATATACGACGCTTACGTGTACTGCACTCAAGATGCTTGACGTCCTGCAACTGATCATCGATAGTACCGCTCTCAACAGTCACCATCGGCTCATCGATGGCAACACAATAGCTGCTATCGTTAGGATTTATACTAAAATCTAAATTAATGATCTCATTGTTGCTGTTGTTGTTGGTGTCAATGTTGCGCTTGTTGTCGATACCGACCAAATCGTCGGTATCTATATCATTGAGATCTGTATAAGCAATGAAAGGCGTGGGAGCGTTGGCAAAGTCATCAGAATAATCGTTATAATTGAAGAAATTATCGCTGAGTTCACCAAATAATTCAGTGGTATTATTGGCCATAAATGGATCAAATGAATTCAAGTATCGACTAATTGTTTGCCTATTGGCGGCCGTCTTATTAGTATTTATGATATTCCTCCTCGACTTCAGCTGATAGTCGTGTTCGCTGTCAATCACTCTTAGACTTAGATCTGTGTCTGTGGTGATGATGTCCAGCGAGGAGTCGTCGATCGGAAGTGACTGTTGCTGTGCTAATGGACTGAAAGAGTTGTCACTCCGATCACTACCACAACTGTCATAATAATTAAAATTTGATAACATTTTGCTTTCAAAAAAAAAACTTTTCTTTTTTAATTTAACTCTTAATTTACCTTTAATTTGTGGTCACAATTGACGACCAAAACAATTAAAAAAAAACACAAAACACTTATTAAAATTTGACAATCAATTCAATGATTTGTATTTTAAGTTTACATTCAATGCTTTACTAATATAAATGAAAACTAAAGTCAATTCAATGACAACCAAATAGACTGAAACAGACTAACGAAATGAAAACGTTTGTCAAAAACATTACATTTATATATAGACTTTTACTCTAGTCTTAGATATTCTAATTTAAACCAATAATTATGTCTTAACTTATATGACCCCACATTTGTTGTACAAAATATATTATTAAACATTTTTCAATCAATATATTCAATGAATAGAGTATACACTATATGGACGTAATTAATGTTATCATTACGTGCTTTACAGCCATTTGTCGACATCAGCTAACAATCAGATGACATCATCTAATCGTTGATTGGTTTAAATTAATTCATAAACATTGCTAGCATTGAGTCATTCAAAATACACTTTTGGTACTATTTTGTATGACTATAAAAACTATTGATACCTATAACTACTGCATTAATAGTATTAGATTATTATAATAAAAGATACCAAAAATTCGATATAATAATGTATGAGTTAAGCCGTTTACATCATATATTTATTGCAATTCATTAGTGTTGACAATATTGTTGAATACTTTAGTCATTTGTATATTAAATAATGTAATGTATTATACATTTACTCTATAATTATTGCTATATTTAATACATTAATAGCCTATATATTAATATATAGTAAATATATGTATATTTATTGCTTATATAATAACTTATTAATAATTGATTGTATTTTAATTGCAATAATATTTTCAATTAAAAATGCTATTCAATTGATTTACTAAACATTTTATATTATTTTAATCAAAACACTTGAAAAAATTCAATTCAATGAAACAATTTTTATTTGAATGTTTTAACCATTAATTTTTATAAACTTACTTATCATACAATGTATGATATTATTGTATTTAAAGTTAATTAATTAAATTATAAATGCATATAAATTAGATATTAATTTGATTGACAATAAAAAACATTTATTTATTTTAGTGATAGTTATTAATATACTGTATGTTTATTATAGCTATAATTATATGACAACTATTGATATGTACTCTCAATGTCTTAACATTAATATTATAAGTGATTTACCGCTCATTCAGAGCACTATTAGATACACTCAACTCAACAGGTATTGTATGTCTACTATAATATACAGTACCTGTGTATCAGTTAATTAGTTTTTTATTTGTCTAATAATATTAATAATACATAATAAATACATTTATTAATATTATTATTAAATACAAACATTTTTTTTCTCATTAAAATACATAATAAACATTAAATTAAAACTATTATATACAGACAGACAGACATCTCATATACTAATTAAACGATTTATTAAATACAATATTAATTATTTATAATTTGTTATATAAAAAAACTAATGAATTTTCTTTTTAATGATTTTTCTTGTATTACATATAATTAATAATTACTAAATTATAAGACATTTATTAAAAATTTAGTATTAAATTGGTATATCTTTTGACTGGACCTAATGGGCCTAAAAAGTTATACACCCCCATCAAAAAAATAGGGTAACTGTTAAATGATAATGATTTCAATTTGGTATAAAGTGGACATAAATTTAATATTCATTCAAAATATCCAATTGATATATTATATACAGTAGATTACGTTATAAAATCAAAAACATTGATTAATTCAATACACTAAATGATAGTCTAATTTTAGTGTTAGTTATAAATTATATAGTGTTATAAATTTCTTTAAATGACAGCTAAACTAACATTTTTATAATATATGACCAAATATTTTGATGATAACAACTATATATATATAAATAAAATGTAGTGATTGTTACTGTACTTATTGTATAGTATAGTAATATATATAAACATATATATTGTAAAAATAACTTTACTTATGTTAACTAAATGCTAGATAATAAAAATAAGTAAAAGTCTTTAATAATTAAACAAATTTTTTTCGATGAGATAATAGCTTAAAGTCGACGAGTAGTATTGAAATATAATATTATAATGATATAAAAGTAACATTTTATTTCATATTTTTTTGTTACTAACACTTGAAACCACTTAAAAAGTGAGAAAAATAATATAACATAAAAACATTATTAAATAAAAAACACTAAATATAAAAAAATTATTATTATTCAGTTTAAATGTGTAATTTTTTTAATTTAATTTTGAATTGAAATTTGTTGAAAATGTCAAAATTAATTGAATCCAAACAACCGAAAAAGCAATCGATTCCCAAAACAATTCGCTTTTTATTTGGTGGATGTGCCGGGTATGGCATATATACTGTATAGTATATATTATATAAGCAAAAAATATGATATAATTAATGTATGATCTGATCTGATGACCACCAGAATGATGGCTACATGTGTTGTACAACCTTTTGATTTAATCAAAAATCGTATGCAATTAAGTGGTAAGCAATCAATTAATTGTTTTTTTTAATTTTACATTTATTTAAATTTAAACCTAATTTTTAAATAAATTGGTTTAGTTTTATGATTAGTCTAAAAAATAATCTGTAATTTATCTTATTTGTATTAAATGTTGTATTGTTATTAATTAACTTATTAATTTAAAATTATATATATATATATATATATATATATATATATATACTGTATATATATATTTCTAAAAAATCAAATTCTACTATATATGATATATTAAATGATTTGTTTAAAAAATATTTTCATCATAATTTTTGTATAGTTGATATTGATTTTTTTAATAAAATTAATGTAATTTAATCACTTAACTATTGACCATTGACTTAGTTAATAGCAATAACAAAGAGACACTTTCATTGATCAGCACTGATCATCAAAACTTTAGATAACTCTCAAAGTCGTGTGTTTACTATTTAGTGAGGTTTGTATAGGAGGGGTAAGAAAGAGATATATAATTATTGTGATTTATTTGTTTAAGTAATTTAATATATTATTTCTTTACTGTATTGGCATTTTTTCGTGGATATAAAAAGTTTAAAATACTGTATAAATTTAAATAGAAAATATAATGTTTATTTATAACTAACAAATTATAACGATTCCAACAGAATCTCAAAATACAGTATATTTGTAATTAATAATTATCTCATTTATACTGTATTTATAATGTATTTTAAACATTATATATCTAAAAAAGACATTGAATTACTTAAATAAATATACAATTCAATTGCATATCCTTTTAACCCTCGCATCCAAACTTCACTAATGGTAAACACACGGCTGTTAGGGTTATCTTTAGTTGTTGACGACCAGTGCTGATGAAGTGTGCATTATATGGGTTTTTATATAGAGGTTAACTAAGTTTAGCCAACAATTACATGAATTTCAGCTTTAAATTTAAAATTACAATTTCAGAAAATTTCATTAGAAAATAACCAATTGTGAGATAAAAATTTCTAATAAATTATTAATTTATATATAAAAAAAAATCTAATATACAGGTGAGGGACGCAAAGGAAAAGAGTTTAAGACTAGTTTTCATGCCATCTCTTCTGTGGTCAAGAATGAAGGCTTTGGTGGTCTTTATGTTGGATTATCGGCAGGACTACTAAGACAGGCCACGTATGCAACCGTACGGTTAGGCATATATTCAACACTTTTTGATAAACTAAGTGCCGAATCACGAGAACCGCCCGGTTTTTTGGTAAAAGTAGTTTTAGGAATGACTGCCGGAGGTATCGGCGCTTTTATTGGTACACCCGCTGAGGTTACACTTATTAGGATGACATCGGATGGTCGGCTACCAGTGGCTGAAAGGCGTGGCTATAAAAACGTTTTCAATGCACTCATTCGTATTACTCGAGAGGAAGGACTATTGACTTTATGGCGCGGATGTATACCAACAATAGGTCGGGCAATGGTTGTAAATGCGGCACAATTGTCATCATATTCACAGTCAAAACAAGTGCTATTATCGACCAAATATTTTAATGATAACCTTTGGTGTCATTTCGGAGCCTCAATGATATCGGGTTTCTTTACGTCCGCTGTTTCAATGCCTGTGGACATTGGTTTGCATTTAAATTTTTTAATATTATTTATAGCTAACATATAATTTAAATTATATAAAATTTGATATAATAAATTATTGGTAATGATATTTAATTTTGAAAATAGACTTAAAAAAAGTTTGTGAAATATGTTTTTTAATTACGGTAATTGCTTTAGGTTATTGTTACACAATTGAAAAAATATTACCGGTAATATTTTTTAACTTATATAAAGTTATTATACAATAATAGATTTCTAGTCACAAATACAGTAAAATACATTATATTACGGTAAATATTTGAAATTTCTTAATTTAAATTAGTTAAAAAATTAATTTTAATTATAAAAATTATATGAAATTTACGGTAAATAGATATCACAATATTTATGGACATATTTATTATACAATTGAAATTTTTATGTTTAAATTAGATAATATCAATCTATTGTAATTCTTACTAAAATATAACTGTTTAATAACTTTAATCAATCATTTTATATTACTTATATTACTAATATACTATTACACAGTATATATTATATACTATTATTATAATTATAATTTTTATATTTTATATCAATTTAATTATTATTATTAAAAAGCAAAAACAAGACTACAAAGTATGAAGATAATCAATGGACGACCAGAATATTCGGGCGCTTTTGTGAGTCAATTGATTTTTAAAAAAAATTTAATTTATAATAATTTATTTCAAACTTTATTTTGTACCGTATTGTATTAAATATTGTTTACAATAGGATGTTATATTCAAAGTGGTCCGAAATGAGGGTATACCCGCACTTTGGAAAGGTTTCACTCCATACTTTGGACGGGTAGGTCCTCATACAGTGATTGCGTTCATACTGTTAGAACAGGCTAACCAGGCTTATAAAATACATATACTAAAAGATACATCAGGTGGTGGAGGACTTTAAATATATAATATTAAAATACTTACCGGTAATTTAAGTTAAACAAATTTATAATTAGCGTAAATTTTTTTAAAAAAATAATATATATTGTTTAATACACAATATCAACTATTTTATTTTTAAATATCATAAGAGAATTTTATAAAACATTTGTTGTAAAATACAAATATCGGTACAAATTTATATAAAATAGCTTTTCTAAAATAAAATAAAAAACATACAAATAAATGCATTCAACATTTTTTGTCAAATAAGAGTATTTTTTAAAGACATGTTTCATATATTAATAAAACAAACAAATAAAGACAAACAATTTTTTTGAGAGCTCTGTTACAATACACTTATAAACTTTTATAGACAATGGAGTTATGAATATAAAGTTATATTAAATGTTTATAAATTTGTATTTTGATATATATATATATATTGTAAATATTCAAATTGGATAAAAATTTGAGAATCTATATTTATGACAATAATAGTACAATTGAACAAATATTGGTAAAATAAGTTTTTTTGTATAGATTTTCGAGTTTCGCACACAAAGTATTTTAATAATAGGTTTCCTTTTCAACCCAACCGCCGGGATTTCGACGTAAAATATATCGGCGAATCTCATCGTAGATGAAAATCAATATCGAGAACGGAAGGGCCACTAACCACCAGTTGAACCTATTTTTTAAAAAAATAAAACAATACATTTAAATAACTAAACTTTTCTGTTTTTTATTACTATTAATAGGCACTTACTTTAATGGATACATTCGCAGTGCTTTATCCATACCGGGACCGTAGGACAGGATGGCAGCCAAAACCGTTTCAAATACAAGTCCAATGTTAAGCACATGATTACTGTAATTATATATTAACAGTAAAATATTTAGTAAAAATGAATGCATAAATAAAATGTAAATTATATGACTGACTCCATTCCCTGATGTACTAATGAGTTGCGTCGGGTCTTACAAATAATAAGATCAGCCCATTGGACGATCACAATCTGTGGACAATATAGATATCGATATAAACATTAGTTATAGGGATTCAATGGTAAGATAATGATTGTAAAAATACCGCTACGAAGAAAGCCGTATGACATGTGAACTCCAATACTTTTCTATCGGCATATGTCTGCAAATAAAAAGATAAATATTAATTATTTTTTAAAATAACAAATTTTTAACACAATGACTGACTGACCCATTCCTGTCCGTACGAGTCTCTGACATCATTGACTGCTTTTGAATCCCACTGTTGTCTGATGCCAAGCAAATCATTTATCCAGAAACCATTTTCACCCATAATGACAAAGTAGGTGAAGAAGCCGGCACTTGCCTGCATCATACCGATCTGGCCGTAAGACATCGATATAAGTCTTTCATTCACCAGTTTATCATTTCGGGCGTCTCTTGGTTTTCGTTTCATTATATCACTCTCTGCCTTCTCGTAAGCCAATGATATGGCCGGAACCATATCAGTGCCCAAATCAATACAGAGAATGGTAACGGTTCCCAATGGAAGAGGTATGTCGGCTAAGATAAATACTAAGAATGGCGAAATCTCTGGTATATTACTGGTCAGTGTGTATGCGATAGACTTTTTCAAATTATCAAATATAAGTCTTCCCTCTTCAACTCCCGTAACAATTGACGCAAAATTATCGTCTAATAAAATCATGTCCGCTGCCTGTTTGGATACATCAGAGCCGGCGATACCCATAGCAATACCAATATCCGCCTTCTTTAGAGCCGGTGAGTCGTTAACACCATCTCCAGTGACGGCAACAATAGCGCCCTGACGTTGACAGCCCTCTACTATAATAAGCTTCTGTTGTGGTGATGTCCGGGCAAATACAATCTCTGTGTGATGCTGTAGTATGTCATCCAATTCATCGGTTGATATTGTCTTAAGCATCCCCCCGTGAACAATACACACTTTTGCTTGTCTCGGATCTACTTCTTCAACAGGAATATTCATACGTTTCGCAATGTCGTCAACGGTTTCATTTCCTTCTGAAATAATGCCCACAGCTTTGGCAATAGCTTGTGCTGTAATGGGATGATCTCCAGTAACCATAATTACTTTGATACCAGCGCTGCGACATTTAGCAACAGCATCGGGCACAGCAGCTCTGGGAGGATCTATCATTGAAACTAAACCCAAAAATCGGAGTCCAGTCAATGGAAAGTTATTATCATCGCTGTTAAACTCATAGCCTTTTGGATAATCTTCTTTCGGAAGTCGATAATCGCAAAAACCGATGACTCTTTCACCCAAACCTCCTAATTCAAGGTAAGCATTATTGAAGCGTTCGGCCCACGACTCATCCATATCAATGTCTTTGCCGTTCATATATATTGAAGTACATCTCTCGAGTATCCTTTCGGGAGCGCCTTTCATACACAACAAGTAATGATCTTTAGTGCCGTCAACTCCGCCTTCAATATCATGAATAGTCACATGATATTTGTTGGTTGAATTGAAGGGAATTTCGCAAACTTTTCTATTTTTAACTCTATAGGTGGGAACACTTCCGACGGCCAGTTCCATACATTTAAGAATTGCCGATTCAGAGGCATCGCCGGTACACTCGCGCTTCATAACAGGAATGTGATCTTGACCGGGAAGAAATTCAGCGCGTGAACACAAACACGCGACACGTGATAAAGCGCGCCAAACGGGTGATGACTTATCAAATGAAACACCAGTTTGCTCTTCAGTGGTGTCCGCGTCGACAATCTGGTTATCAAACCAAAGATGAGAAACTGTCATTCGGTTCTGAGTTAAAGTTCCTGTTTTGTCTGAACATATGGTAGATGTCGAACCCAATGTCTCGACAGCTTCCAAATTCTTGACCAAACAATTTTTACTGGCCATACGTTTGGCAGTCAATGTTAAGCATACGGTTACTGTGGCCAACAATCCTTCGGGAACGTTAGCTACAATAATACCGATTAGAAAGATAACGGCATCCAACCAATGGTAACCCAATGCAAATGCAATTATAAAGAATGTAACGCCAAGAAATACAGCCACTCCTGTAATAATGTGAATAAAATGTGTGATCTCTTTGGCAATAGGCGTGTCTCCCATTTCCAGTCCCGACGCCAAGTTAGCAATACGACCCATAACAGTACGATCACCGGTATTTATGACAATCCCTCTACCGCTTCCCTCAACACAATTAGTCGAAAAGAAAGCAACGTTTTTGGTTTCCAATGGATTATCATTTGTACACTCAGGAGATCGCGATTGTGGTTCCGATTCACCGGTAAGTGACGAGTTGTCAACTTTGAAACCATGCGCTTGTATTACACGAATATCGGCGGGAATACGATCTCCACCTTTGACCTCAACCACATCTCCCAGTACTACCTCTTCAGCCGGAATCGTATACTTTTGACCATTTCTTACGACTGTAGCGTACTATTTATGATAAATTATAATTTCAATCAATTAAATCATTGTTTTTATTTTTAATTTACTATATAATGGTAAATATATTAATGAATGGAAAATATTAATCAAAATAAAATTAAAGTACCGGATTTATACTATACAACTACAGTACAATATAATTACAGTAATCAATGAACAGAAAAAAATCAAATACACAATAAAAAATAATTGTAAAGATTTTTTATCAAATCTATTGAAACTTCAATGTCAACTTGATTTTATCATTATAAAAATTATAAATCATTCAATCAATAGATTTTTTTGAAGACAAAATTATAGAGTTAAATATTGATTGACTAAAAAAAACAACAAAAAAGTCATTAAACGAAACTTAAGATTTAAAATAAAACAAAATATCTAATAATAGACTAACAGTTGTTTTGTGCTAAATAATGCTAGAATTGTAATTTATTAGATGATACTGTATATTATACACCAAATTTCAAATCAGTTATAATTTGAATGCAATCATTTAAAAAAACAAAAATGTGTTTAAAGTGTTAAAAATAGTTAACTCTTTTTTGGGAACTAAAGATATTTATATATATTGTAAAATATATCAATAAATCATTTGTAAAATCTATTTAAGCAGAATATTCTAACAGAAAAATATAAATTTATATATTCAATGCTAATTAAGTAGTAAATTAAGTTTTAACCAAATTAACAATTCATTTTATTTAGAGGAAACCATTTATTATTATTTTGTTTAGTGATTATTCAAAGTTCGTATATTTTTTCATAAATACCATAGATTAGAAATGGGTCAAAAACAATTTTATTTTTATTTTAAACAAAACTAATATTTAAGCAAATATATATATATATATATATATATAAACTCATATTTAATTTATATAAACTCAATGCTAAATCTTTTAATCACCAAACCTATCAATTCTCAATTAACAAACAGTATTATAATAAAAATCAGTATTTAATCAAATATATATCAATTTTCTATTTATTTAGCGTAAATAAGTATCAAAATTTATAATTAATGTTAGAAAAGTTAAGTGCAATTAATAATAATAAATATTTTTAAAACATTTATTTTATCAATCATTTGAAGAATAGTGTGTAAATTATATCTTTTAAATATAAAACATGTGAAACAAACCTAAAAGTCTAAACAAGTTTTATATATAAAACTAAATGAATGAATGAGAGTGTCTGTCGTTAAGGAGAGCAGACAAGCAATCAATGAAAACAGATTCAATGATTGTTATTATGTTTGATAGCAATAAATGTTAAGAAATTAAAATTAAAAATTGGTTATCAAAAAAATATATATATAATTAATGTTTTTATATAAACATTTAGAGGAATTGACGCAAATTGGGTGATACATACTTGTGGTATCATATTCTTGAATGAGTCCATTATTTTGGAGCTTTTGGCCTCTTGATAGTAACTGAAACATCCCGTCACTATCACCACTGTTGCCAATACGATACCCAAATATAACTAAATTCAAACAAAAAACACATATTTCTCTGTTATAAACTAAATACAAACCATATTTGAAATATATATAAATTTTAATAAAAATCATATTTGAAATATATATAAATTTTAATAAAAATCATATTTGAAATATATATAAATTTTAATAAAAATCATATTAAGAAAAAAAACATTGATCTATAATATAGGATATTATTAGTACAATACCAATATTATTATTGGTAGTAATGTACTGTTAAATTATTATTATTAACATAATTGCAAATCATATAAGGAAATTATCAACTTTTTTATAGAGAGATTAACTTTTTGTAATAATAACAATAATAAATATATAAAACTAATTATACACTTACATTATCGTCCGGTGCCTCATCAAAACTGGTGGCCTGTATAGAGTAGGCAATAAAACATAGGACAGCTCCGATCCAAAGTAATAGTGCAAACCCTCCGAACAGGTTTTTACTGAATTTAACCCATTCTGGTGTCCGTTTCGGTGGTGACAATGCATTCAGACCATCCCTTAACAATACTTCGTGTGCCTGTTCTGGGGTCAGTCCCTATCATTTAAACAAACAAATAAATAAATAAAATTATTTATCGATATTTTTAAAAGTTGTAAATAAAAATTCCCAATACGTTCGGGAATATAGTATTTATTAGAGATTACAATAGTTGTTCAATGTTTGTCTTAATGTTTATTGTTATGGATTATATACATGTATACCGTATACCAGTAATTAGTTATTGATATGTCTTTCACTTAATTGATATCTCATTATCAACAATAAAACACTTGATTTTAAGTAAATTTTGAGCACAAAATCAATATCCTTAAATAATTTTTATAAAAACATTTGTAAAAGTAATAAAAACTTATCAAAAAAAGTATTCAAAAAGGAAATGCTAATCAATAAATTAGTCTGTTTTATACAATATTACTATTAATTAATTGTCAACAACTTTTTTTTATCATTTATTTATAATATTTATGTTAATAATTACATTGAAAAAAACTAACAAAAAAATTATTATTATTTATCATATTTTTTCGTTTATTACAAAAACTTATTACACACACTACTGCATAATAATAACTAATGTTTAGTGAAATAAAACTTTTTTCATAACTTACAACTTAAAGATAAAATAATTGCCTTAAATATTTTTCATATAACATTCAATAATAATAATAATATAAAAAATATTTTCAGTGAATTTATGGCATTTGGGACACAATAGTGCCATACATTTGTAGAAAAAAACATATTTTTATATTTGTATGCATTAATAATAATTATTATAATGATTGTTAGATTAATATTTACACACATTATGATTATTATCGTTGTATAGAAAAAATCATTTATCATTTATATATTATGTTTATATACTTATATATGTTATACAATCATTTATCTAAAAAATATATTACCTATTATTTAATATTAAAGGGAACCACTAATATATATATATATATATAGACTATATATAAAGTATATAACCTATTGATGTGATCAATCAATTTGTAGGACTGACTCTCAAAATAAGCCATTTATGTCATTATCAATAATTGTCGGTAAACTTATCGGTAATAATAATAATACTAATTTTGTCATTCAATTGTCAATTACAGCCACACTTGTTGTGTTTGAAAGCTTTTTATAGTATTTATGATATATAAGTGTATATAAATGTTTTAGTAAATTGAAAGCTAATGGTTTGGGTTAATTGAAAACTACATACGAGTTCGGTATCGGTGGCCAATTGACTGCATAACATGTCTATTGGTATCCTGTGTTCATCCATTGTCACCTCTTTCTTCAATTCTTCTAAGTCTTGTTTTTTTCTTCCCGCGTGCGGACTCTTCTTATACTTCAACAGTTTGGGTCTGCCTTCGGGTGTTAGTCCATCGTCTGGCACTTCGGGCGAAACGGCCAGACGATAGCTACCCGTGTCGTCTCCCTTATTATATGACATTATGTCTGTATAGTTGCTGTCAATTCAAACCAAACCCCAAACAAACAGCAAACAGTTGGACAACACCTGAACACTACAACTCTATATACAGTATTATAAAACCCAAACCCAATGCTTATACCAAAACAACTGTAGTTTTTTCACTCACTCTCTAACCCACTGTTGACTGAGTTATGCATTCATTCAATGCACACAACAATGTAATAATAATTTTCAATTGAATTTTGAGCACAAAATACATTGAAAATATGCTTTCAATGCGTTAATGACGTCAACAAACAGGTTGTGCGCCTGTCATATGTGCTAACAGTACTACCAGTGCTTACTGTAGTACTATAGACACCCATGGCTTGACTTTCCGATATTCTGTTAATTTGTTGGATCCCTTTCCCCAATTGAAGCCATCAATGTATTTATGATATATTAATATAAGCAATATATTAATAGTTTATATAAATAAGTGTTAAATTATGCAACACTTCAATTGACTATCAATTAGCGCTTTGTTGTATTTCAATCATATAATTTCATATTAAATACAATTATCATTTTTTAAAAATAACCTTGGATCATTTTGATTATATAATATTTTTCCATTTATTTGATCAGATTTTTAAAAAATCAAACTAATATTATAATATTGTATATCATATACTATATATACTGTATAGTGATTTAGTTTATTATTCAATATTTATAGATTGAAAAATTTTGTTATTAATAAATATATATTTACAAGGGTTAAGCTAGGTTTAGGATTTTAGATGGGGTATAGTGTGGTTGTACTATTTTATTACACTTTTAAACGACAATTGTTTCAAAATTCAGGGGGGGTTAGAAAAAATTCCGAAAAACTTCGAAAATTCCCATGTTAAAGGAGGGGGAAATATTCCCAATAAATTCCTTAAATTTTAGAAATATTTTCTTAAATTCATAAAAAACTAATTTTAATTAAAATTATAAAGGGTAAAAATAATTATTTAATTAAATTTTATAGTATAATTTATTATTATTATATTAATTATCTTAAAAATAATATTCTACTTATAACATTTGATAAATAATTCATTTTTAAGTTTTTGATTACATTTTATATTTGTTTTAATCTTAACGTATATTAAACTAATAACTATTTTACTGAGTTTAATATTAAATTATATCATTATAATATGTATTAAAAACACAAAAACAGTTAAGTAGAAAATCTTTGTTAAAATTATAATTTTGTTAAATTTCAAAAAAGTCTGGGGGTATTTTTGTCATACCCCTACCCCTTGCTTAACCCTAATATATACAATAGTTAATAATATATATGTTATACCAAGGTTATATTTGAAAAGTTATACAAATAAATTTACTGTAAACTACTATTTTCACATGCTCATTATGTTTAAATCACGTGATAATTTTTTGTAATAGTTATATATATATATATATATATATATATATATTGTATATATTGTACAGTAGAAGGGGTTAAACTAATTGAAATGATAATATAATAAATTATATGAAAAAATTGGTAGCTTTTTGTTGCCTCTCATTTGATATAATGATCACGTGATATAACAACATGATTGAAATACTAATACTTTATATTAATAGTAGTTAACTATATTATTGCCAACATTATTATTATTACCTACCGGTGCAATGGCATCGTTAAAATAATATATTTTTATTGAAAAGCAAGTTTTATATACAGACTCAATCCATCTCTCTTTTTCTCTTTACTAACTAATTCATATACAGTATTGCAAATACATTGTATATATATATATATACTGTATATACATATGTACAGTATATAAAACTAGTTTTTATATAATTAATTATTAGTTAAAATGATTTTCATAACATATATGTAAACCTTTATTTTACTGTATGTACTCTTTGTTCATATTATATGAATCATATATAGAGAGCCTTAAAGGGATAGTCGTACTACTGTACTGTATCTCATAAAAAAGTATTAGCAGACAGCACTTCACCACCAATTAATACCTGTTCTCCTTAACCCTAAACTTATTGTATCAACCAATAGAAAAATAAACTCAGAATTAATTAATTAAAAAAACTTGTGTAACAACTTATACACAAAATTTATTAACAGTTAATATTGTCTTTTTTTTTAGTTGTTAACCACTAGATTTTTTAAAATGATAATTTAGTTGATTTAATATACAAAAATAACATTTGTTTTAATACAAAAAATGTGTTCTTAAATAATAATTGTTTATAAAATATCAATGTTTTAAAACATCTCAAATTACTAGATATCAAAATATGATATCTTGTTAATTTAGTATACATTAAATACTGTCTACTGTAATAAAATCATACAAAATTTGATAAAAAAAAATATTTTATACAAAAAAAAATAATTCTTCAATATATTACAAATTACTATAAAAATAATATATATTTATTTATATTAATTATATTAGTAACTATAAAATATGTTAAAGTCTAGTATTTTAAAACTTTTTATATATAAGTAATAAAATTAACTAAAATCTATAGTTGTATAAAATTTTATTTGAATATAGTTTATTTCATTCACATAAATATATATATATATTTATTTTTAAAAACCTGTTACTATTATTTTTGTCAACGATTATATAAAAAAATTGTCAATATCTTGTATTTCAATCACTTAATAATGACATAACATTTTTCAATTGGTAAGTCAGATGATAAGTGTCCATTTCATACAAATCTTAATTAATGTATAGCTATTAATACATAATTTAATAAAATGGATGAAATAATGTTTATTTAATACAGTTTGTCACCAATTGTGTCAAATGTTTTGATACAATAATAATCAAAAATTAGATTATAATTGTTATCAATTTTATTTAATAATTTAATCAATGAATGTTAACTATAAATATATTAAACCCATAGTTAATGACAAACTATAATAACTAATAGTAATTCAATGCAAACATTCATTAGATATTCTGTGAATTCTTGATTCAATAATAATAATAAAATAATTTGTTGAATGAGTCGACAATAACGACATCTATTTGTTTGGTATTGACTTTGATTTGTATATTAAAAATGAATTGAAAGTCAAAATAAATATTTTATAAATAATAGAAATTTAATGACTATTTTCATAGATATTTGAAAACAATATTAGATTAAAGTTAAGAAAACAAAACATAAAATGAGTGCAAAAGTTATTAAAAGCAACAAAAGTGTTGAGTTTGTGATCAAAGGTAAGCATTATTTTCGCTAATAATTTGTTCACTCATTGAATGATTTGTTTGTTTTGTCGGATCAGAGATAATGTCGACAACGGATGACAAGAAAAGAGAGAAATTCATTGTCGACAACAAACAGACAATCGCACCGATGGTCAAACTGTTTGCCCAAACGGTTACTTCGGGCGGCGGCGACCATCCGACGGCTCAGTTGGCACTCAATTGTATTCTTGTGGTGAGCTGTGCGGCCACTGAGTGCCGATTGGAACCGATTCTGTGCGAAGCCATCATCAATGAGACCACTTTTATACTGCATATGATTAGTGATATAATTTGTGGTCACTATAATGACCACTATTTCGGTATATTAGTTAATCTGACCCGTTATGACTCAACTGTTCAACAAATTTACAAATTATGTCCGAAAGACTTTCTGAATAAATTGTTTACAATATTATTAACTAATAGTTTAGTGTCGGCTCTCATCACAAATCTGAGCCAAATTGAAGACGTGAGACAAACGATAGTTTCAGATCCATCACTAATGAGTCAATTATTTGATGTCTTCGACAAAAGTGATTCAATTAATGTCAAGAATGCCATCACTTGTATTGTTAGGAACTGTTGTTTTGACAATGATTTGCACCAAATATTGTTAAAACCACAAAACGATCTCTTAGTGAAACTGGTTTTACCGATTGCCGGACCCGAAGAGTTGTCCGAAGAAGATAACAACAAACTGCCAATTGATTTACAATATTTAGGTTCAGATAAATGTCGAGAAAAAGATCCAGAAATCCGGAAACTATTGATGGAAGCAATGCTTATGTTATGCAGTACTCGATTTGGTCGACAAGTGATCCGCGAATCCAATGTTTATTTAATTCTTCGAGAATATCATAAATGGGAAAAAGTAAGAGAAGTTCAGAAAGCTATCGAAGATGTCGTCGATATTATTATTAAAACTGAAGAAGAGATCGATACGGATGATCTTAAAGCTATTGACATTCCCGATGATCTGATCCAGAGATTCAATCAAATGGACAAAGAGCTGATCAAAGAAGATGACGACAAAGACAATGATTAATACATAATATAAACGACTTATCAATTAATTTAATTGTTGGGACAAAAATAAATATCAAATTCCTAGTGTATGTTATTTACTGTTTAATTATCGTAATATTAAAAAGTTTTTATAAGCTTATCGTATGTTTGATATTCAAACTTTGATTACCACATGATTCCTAATATTATCAAAACAATGGATGAATGAATTATATATTAAATTTTTCAATTATTATTTATAATATAAAGTAAACATTAAATAAATTACTGGTACCGGTAATTGGAAAATATTATATATATATAATTTACAGTATATTTATAATTATTAAATATCTTTGTGTACTTCACATCTATAATAGATGTCAAAATGATTTATATGATAAAAAAATTATTATAAATTAATATTACCGTATAATAAAATAACAAGTCTTAAACAAAAATATAAATTTATTTACCGGTTATACGACTAAATTAAGTAAATTAATATAACGCACAAAATACAAAATGTTTAATACTGTTTTTTTTATTATTTCATTAATTAATTTAAATATTATTTTTAAATATAAATATTAATTAATTGTATGTATTGTATAAATTCTATAATTAGACAGAATATTATTTCAATTTTCAAGAATGTAATTTAATTTTTTTTCTTATAATAATGACAATGATTTATTAATATTGGCAAATTTATATATATATATTGAAATTTATCATTATATTATCAATTATACAGTAATAAATTTAATCAACTACATCGAAAATATAAACTATTTAGTATAAAATTGTTTTTATTTTTATAATTTGATCAAGCAACATTTGTTAAAAATAATGGCTAAATTTGACACAATTTTTATATATTTAGAAAAAGTTAAGTTTATTTTTATTAAGTTAATTTGAATAATTATGGATTAATTATAGAAATAATATAAACTTTGTGTGTGTGTGTGTGTGTGTGTGTGTGTGTGTGTGTGTGTGTGTGTTTAAATTAAAGATATTCAAACATAATTTAATGATAACATTATAATATTTCAAACAAAAATAGTTTTTTACCCAAATATGTTTTAATATGTTAGTATTGCACTGAATTGTGGAATATATGTTATTATAAATAATTAAAAATAAACTAATAAATAATATATAAATATACAATTATTTTTTTAAAAATATTAAAAATCAATTTTTATAAATGTTACCATGTAATAAAATTTATTGGCTTATGAGCACATATATTGAAAAAATTATTTTAAATTTCAACAGTTTTATTATTTAATGGTTTTTATGTTTTGTCACAATTGCACTGAATGTAAACGGGAATTATAAAGTATATTGTTTTAAGTTTAGTTTCAATTTATGCTAAAATGGTATCACCAAGTAATTTAAATTTACCATCCAGGTAAAATTTATGTCTAAAAATATACTAATGCATGTTATTATTGTTTTATTTTTCATTTATTATTATTATTATTACAAAAGTTAAATTAATTATAAAACATGATGTAATTTGTTTTAGTCAAATATAATGCACAATCCATACTATTTTATTATTAAAAAAAAAATCAAATTATAGATTTAAATAATTTAACAAAGAGTTTCAAATAATATCAATAAACAAAACAAATTAACTATTATTTTTTAAATAACTTATTATATAAATATTACCAAATGTTTTATTATAGAAAACAATGTTCACTAATGTCTATATATCTAATAATATTATCGTTGGGGTTATAATTAAAAAGTTCAATTTATTACTTTTATTTAATATTAAAAGCAATGATTAAAACTATATTTCTATATCATATAAACATGATTTTGTTTAAGCAATAAAATTTACCAAAAAATGTATAAATATATTATACTTATAATAGATTTACATGTTTTTAAAAAAAATATTGAGTTTTGACAATTGAATCACTTTACTGAAGTTGAAATAAATTAATAACATGTAAATTTATATATCTTATATTAAACATAGCACCTAATTTTATTTTTAACATTAACATAAATAAAAATTTCAAATATTTGAAAGTATAAATTAAAAAAAAAATTATAATATATAATAAAATGAATATTAATAAAATTTAAGTAACAAAATATAAAAATAAATGACAAAATATATAATTCAAAAATAAGTAAATTGTTTTTAACGGTAAAATTGTTTAATTTAAAATATTAAATCTATCTAAATATAACTTAGTGTATAATAAAAATATAGTAAATTTAAATTAGATTACTTTCATTTCATCAGTTTATAGAAATATTTTTTATAATGACTTTGATATATTCAGTAAATAGAAATTGTATAAATAAATAAAACATAATTATAAATAGCAATAAAACATTTACTGTATAATATATGCGTATAATATACTGTACAATATATACAGTATATATATAAATATATTATAAATAATAATTTAAAAGATTGTTTTAATACCGGTAATAATAATATATTGCTTGTAATAAAAATTTATAAGTTATTTCTCATATAGAAAAAACTCTGTTTCCGACATTAAATAAATTTTTATATTAATCTATACTTATATATATATATTTGTATCTCCGATATCATTCATTAAATAATTTACTATTTTTCTGTTTCTTTTAAAAACATGTTTCAATAGATAAGTTGTCAGATAACGGTATAAATTTGTTCATAAGTTTGAACATAAGTTATATATATATATTGAATATTAAAGTTATTTTCTTTTTTATCATAATTTCATCATCAATCGTTATACGGCAATTGATATTATTGAATTATTTATAACATCACTAATAATTTATTTTGGTTACCTTTTAATTGAAGCTGATAATGATGACAATATTTTTTAAATATATATATATAGTATCAAACAACAGGTAATAATAATAATAATAATAAGTCTCTATTAATATATAGTTAATAGTAAGTCTCTAATTCAATCCAACCGCCGGGATTTCGCCTCAATATAAATCTTCGACATTCATCGTAAAGAAAAATTAATATTGAAAAAGGAATTGCTGGAAACCACCAGGTTAACCTAGGTTAGATAATATATCATATATACACACACACATATATATAGAGAGGGTGTATGCATTTTTAAAAATTTTGCTACAATATATTATTATATTATTTTTTAATTTATAAAAAAAATAATTATCAGGTCTAACAGTAATGTAGATTTTTGTCTTTTTGTCTATATATACTGTATAAAAATCAATACTTACTTTAATGGATATAATCTCAATAGTAAAGGCATTCCGGGACAATATGAGAGAAACGCTGCCAAACAGGTCTCAAATATTAGACCAAAATTTAATACATGATTCCTATTAATGAAATTTAATAATATATATATACTGTATATATAAAATACAATTTGTAAATATAATAATTATTATTAAAGACATTTACTTCATTCCCTGATGAATTATTGAGTTGCGTCTAGTTTTACAAATTATGAGATCAGCCCATTGGACGACCACAATGGACACAAAAAAAGCCGTGTGACACGTGTACTCAACCTCTTTACGTGCTTTATATGTCTATAATAATAATTGTGTAAAAATTAAATATAAAACATAATTAAAATCCTCAAATTATTGTGTTTTGTAGGATATATGATACCAACCCATTCCTGTCCATAGGAATCCTCTAAATCATTAACAGCTTTAGAGTCCCACCGCTCTCTTAGTCCAAACAAGTGGTCCGATTTAAATCCCGATTCAGCGAGTATTACAAAATAAGCATAAAATCCTGCGGCCGCCTGAATCATACCGATTTGGCCATAAGAAACAGATATAAGTCTTTCATTAACTAATTTATCTTTCTTAGGATCTCGTGGTTGACGTTTCATTATATCACTCTCTGCCTGTTCGTATGCTAATGATATGGCCGGAACCATATCAGTGCCCAAATCAATACATAGAATGGTAACGGTTCCCAATGGTAGAGGAACGTTGAATATAATAAAAAATAAAAACGGAGATATTTCTGGTATATTACTGGTCAGTGTGTATGCGATAGACTTTTTTAAATTATCAAATATCAGTCTTCCCTCTTCAACTCCCGTAACAATTGACGCAAAATTATCGTCTAATAAAATCATGTCCGCCGCCTGTTTGGATACATCAGAGCCGGCGATACCCATCGCCACTCCAATGTCAGCCTTTTTGAGTGCAGGCGAGTCATTGACGCCATCGCCAGTAACGGCAACGATAGCGCCCTGACGTTGACAGCCCTCAACTATAAACAACTTTTGTTGTGGTGATGTCCGGGCAAAGACTATTTCTGTGTGATACCTAAGAATCTCATCCAACTGATCCTCTTTCATATCTTTAAGTTCTTGTCCGTGAACTACAGCTGCTTTAGCGTCGCGTGGATTTACATCTTCTACAGGAATGCTTAATCTGAGTGCAATATCTTCAAGTGTTTCGGTTCCCTCCGATATAATACCCACAGCTTTGGCAATGGCTTTAGCAGTGATAGGATGATCACCCGTTACCATAATTACTTTGATGCCAGCGCTTCTACACTTAGCTACAGCATCGGGCACTGCTGCCCGGGGAGGATCTATCATTGAAACGAGTCCTAAAAATCTTAGATTATCTAACGGAAAGTTTCCCTCATCGGGATCAAAGGGATAACCAGACGGGTACCTATCAATTGGTAATTTATAGTCACAAAAGCCGATAACACGTTCGCCGAGACCGCCCAACTCTAGATAAGCTGCATTGAAAGCGTCGCGCATATCTTCGTCTAATATCTTTTCCTGACCATTGATGAAGATAGTACTGCACCGGTCGAGTATGCGTTCGGGCGCTCCTTTCATACATAACAGATAACACGAATCGGTCGAGTCGTCCGTTTCGTGAATAGTTACGTGATATTTGTTGGTTGAATTGAATGGTATTTCGCATACTTTGGCACACTTTCGGCGAAATGATTCAACGTTTCCGATCGCTATTTCCATACATTTCAGTATTGCTGACTCTGAGGCATCTCCAGCACAGTCCCTATCAGTCACAATATATATACCGTATTATTACTATTATTTACGTACAGTTCGGTGAATATTTAAATCATTAATACAGTATAACTAATAGATAATTTATATATAAAAAACAACATTTACTTAATATATATATATATAACAACTGCTATTGTATACTTTGTGCGGTATATTTAGATAACTAATGTATTTTCATTTGTTTACTTAGTTAGCATTAAAAATACTTTATTTAAATTAATTTCTTTGAAAAAAGCTTTATAATATATACTACAATATAGAATATTACAATATATATTATACAGTATATGCATATATATAAACAGTAAGTTATTAATAAAAATAATAATGCATTTATCTATAAAATATTTGCTAAAATAATAAATTGGTAAAACTTTAGTCTTATTATATCTTTTCTAAAGTATAATAAATATTTTCTATGAATAATCCAATTTTATACTTTCTGTGAATTAGTATAAAAATAAGTAACACATTTATTATAAAAATATTATATTTATTTTATACTAATATATAATAAAAAAAACTGTTTGTACTGTATATTGTAGACTGTTTGTAATACTGTATAATTTATAATATATGCGTTATATTATAAAATATAAATGACACTTTTTTAGTAAATAAAAATACTGTTTATAATATTTAATAACAAGTTTAAATCTCTAGTATTTTTTAAATAACAAGTTTATCTAATAATATACATTATAGTATATATATATATCTTATTATAATTAGTAAAATAATAAACATTAAAATTAAATAATTATATCATAAAATATTTTATATTATCATCTAATTACCTCCTAGTTTTGGTAATTAATATTTTACCGTAAAATAAAGTATAGAAATTATACAGTAAAATAAATATTTTGTCGATTGAGGTTAATAAAATGCATATAAATAATAATAATTACTTATTTATATTAAATATTATGATATAATAATTTCTTACAAAACAACTGTTAATTGTTTAACACAATTTGTGTTGATATTTGAAATAAAAAATAATAATTCTATAACCTATATATCTAAATAAAAATAATATTTTCGATTGGAGTTTAATTTAATATTCTATATATTAAATTATACATATTTTGTGAAAAAATAAAATAAAAACTTCACTCATGTGTTTGATAAACAAACTGTTATATTGAATATAATATTTACTAAAAATATAAAATTATATAATTTTGTTACTTATTTTGAATAATTTTTATTTAGAAATTCTCAAATTACATAAAATCTAAGTTTGCATTTGACATTAAAAACCTTTTTTTTTGTTGAAACATCTATTTCTTACTAAATCCACTGTTAAACTTTGAAGTTTAAAAATGATTGATTTGGCCATTTTAGGCTTAATTTTATTTACCAAATCATCAATTTTTAATCAAATTACAGTTATGTTTTAATCGTAATATATGACACATTTGCTACAAGGTTTAGAAAATATATTGATTATAACTTTTTAACAAAATAACCCTCATTACATAATTTTGATAAATATTATTTTTGTTTAAAAAATCTTATCACCAAAAATATGTGACTTATTGTTGCTTTAGTGATATTAATAATAGAAAATAAAACGACCCTGATATAATAACTATTATATACCGGTAAGTTTGAAAAAAATATAAAGTAAGCATACCTTTTAAGGATAGGTAGATTTTCCTGACCGGCTTTAAACTCAGCTCTACTGCATAGACAACAGGCCCGACTCAATGCCTTCCAACCGGTAGATGTCTTGTCGTATTGAACACCTGAATGATAATTTATATTCAGTATAATTAGTATACAATTAATTAAATGTTAAAACTGATTATACAAATTATATACCGGTTTGATCTTCAGTAGTATCGGCTTCAATGATGTGATTGTCAAACCACATGTGAGCGACAGTCATCCGATTCTGAGTTAAAGTTCCCGTTTTGTCTGAGCATATGGTAGATGTCGAGCCCAATGTCTCAACCGCTTCCAAATTCTTGACCAAACAATTTTTACTGGCCATACGTTTGGCAGTTAATGTTAAACAAACAGTGACTGTAGCTAACAGACCTTCGGGTACATTGGCAACAATAATACCTATGAGAAATATAACGGCATCCAACCAATGGTAACCCAATATAAATGAGATTATGAAAAAAGTGACGCCAAGAAAAACAGCCACTCCAGTGATTATATGAATAAAATGCTCGATCTCGCGGGCAATCGGTGTTTCACCCATTTCTAGACCAGAGGCCAAATTTGCAATGCGACCCATAATAGTACGGTCGCCGGTATTAATAACAACTCCCTGACCGGTGCCCTCAACACAATTAGTCGAGAAAAAAGCTAAATTGCGAGTTTCTAATGGATTATCATGAGTTAAATCAGGAGATCTGGTTTGAGGTTCAGACTCTCCAGTGAGCGATGAGTTGTCAACTTTACATCCATGTGCTTTAACAACCCGTATATCAGCGGGTACTCGATCACCACCTTTGACTTCGACAATGTCACCCAAAACCACTTCTTCCGCTGGAATAATATTCTTGTGTCCCTCACGTATGACAGTCGCGTATTGAGGAACCATATTCTTAAATGACTCCATTATAGCTGATGACTTGGCCTCTTGATAGTAGGAGAAGCAACCAGTGATGATGACAACTCCGGCCAATACAATACCCAAATACAACTGTCATTATAAAATATTTGTGTCAATAGCTTTGTCTAATTAAACATATAATAGCAAATAATTATATAATACAATTTACACCATTATATAATTATATAATACAGTATTTGACATTATATAGTGTCATATAATTTCATTATATAATTATATAATACCATTTACACTATTTATTACTCTTATAACAAAACAAACTTTATTGTGTGTGTGTGTGTGTGTGTGTGTGTGTGTGTGTGTGTGTGTGTGTGTGTGTGTGTGTGTGTGTGTGTGTGTGTGTGTGTGTGTGTGTGTGTGTGTGTGGGCTAAAATAAATAGTACAAAACATTAGATTCAAATACTGGATATTAAAGGAATATTCTGTTATTTGTTAATATCAATTACATTATATTGAAAATCTATTATTATCTATAATTCATTATCATCAAGGTCTCTATTTGCCATACTATCTCAATCATCACCACAATAACTTATTTTTGATAATAGATTTTACTCAAATTGCATGTATATATAATATTACGGTACAACTTATAATAATAAATATCAACATATAAATCATGAAAAAGTGATCGACAAAAACAATCGTTTGTCGTATATTTGATACATATTGACATAAACTAAATAATAAATTGTTTGACAAAACAATTTTTGTTGTAAATAAATACATGTCAAATATCAATTTAATTCATTAAGTATTAACTTAATAACCTATACATTACATTAAATTTAATAAAATATTTAAAAATATATCAATTAAATTAATAATATAATTGATATTGTATTATTATTATAACAAAAAAATGTAGGTAGGTTAAAATGTATTGTCAGAAAAAAAATAATAACTTTCAATATTATAAATTATGTTATAATATATTTAATATAATATTATAATACTATATTTAAAATTAAAATCAAATAAAATTCATATCCAATATATCATATCTAAGATTTAGTTTTAGATTAGAAATCAATTGATAATATATTTGACAACAAAAAAGTGGACATACATTGTCGGGTTGCGGTTCTTCAAAAGTGGTCGCTTGTATAGAATAGGCGAGAAAACAGAGGACAGCGCCGATCCATAACAATAGTGCAAATCCGCCGAACAATTGCTTACAAAACTTGACCCATTCGGGTGTTTTCTTCGGTGGTGTCAAACTGTTTGGTCCGTCCCTTTCGAGTACGGCCTTTGCCTGAGCATTGGTCAGACCGGTCTCCGGATTGGTCTTAAGCCGTGCATACAGTTCATCGACGCCTATCTTATGCTCGTCCATAACGACCTCCTGTTTGAGATCTTCGAGCTCTTGTTTCTCGCCTTTCTTGGACTTCTTCGGTTTGTTTTCTTCTTTTGGACTCATTTTTACAGACAATGATTTCAATCACTTTTTAAATCAGAAACACTTCATTCAACAAACAAAAAAAACTTTAAAAAACAAATGACGAAAATGTGATGATTAGGGATGCAATCAAATGAATGGATAACACAATCATAATAATTGTTGGTTAGTGTCAGTCATCGCGAGCTATCAAATGCCGGTCTCTCCTTCCCTTATCCAACAACTGATCATTACTTTGGCACTCAATTGTGTGTATATTATAAATATATATATAAAGAGATGAAGAAATGGGATGTATGTATGGATGCGGCGAAGCTATGAGTCAGTGCACAGACAGACAGACAGACTGACTGACTGACTGACTGACTGTGCGATGAGATTTGCCAACACTTTTTTCGGACACCAGTTGTGTTGGTGTATATGTGTGTGAGTGAGTGTATGTATGGATGGATATACTATACCAAAGACTTTCACTACTGACAGATACACAGACACTCTCACAGACAGACACCACAACTGACACTCACATATTGCTTGCTATACATAAGCGGATTGATTGACTGAACCACTAGTAGTACTACAACTACTACTACTACTGAACCCAATACCACTGCGCGTCACTACAGTTGTTGTTGTACTACCAATACTTCAACAACAACAGCAACAACCAGTTTTGACTATCACCGCGAAGTATAATAACAACAACAACATGTGAAACAAACATCAAGTATGTACTCTCATAATCTTCAGCGACAATAATCTCAAAATTAATTTCAATTATTATAATTAATTTTTTTATAATAATTTTTTTGTTGTTGAAATATTATAATAAAATTATTGATAAAAACTAAAAAACATTAAAGTTTTGTCAGTAATATGTTATGATTTAGTTATGTGTAATACTATACTATAAAATAACTTATAGTCAATTCATGTCTTATATTTCAAGCCAAACCATCCAAATCTCAAGTTTCTAATCGCAACGATATATATATAGTACTGTATATTATGTGTGATATGATATCATTACAAATGTAATTATCGATAATATTTTGTAATTACATATTTTTCTACATATTATAACTTTATATCATATTTATCTATACTTAAGGGGAAAGTGGTATAAAGTACCCCAAATAAATTGCGCAATAGCTGAAAATGTTAAGTTTTATTTTTTTTAAACGCGCGGTAGTTTTAAAACAACTAAAATTAACATAACATAATCTAGCATTATCATAAAAAAACTACCTGGATAACATAATAAATCAAATTTAATTGAACAACTACCAGTAGATAATTCAAATGATTCAGGTTACTATGTAATAAATTTATTATATAATATATGGTTTTTATTTTACAAGTTATAGTTAACTATAGTAAAGTTATGTTTCAACAAATATTTGACTGTCCTTTAATGAAAACAGCCCCCCCCCAAAAAACAATTTAATAAAAATCAATAATCAATTTGTTGTGCAAAATACAGTATACAATAAAGTTTGTAAAATAAATGATGGGTTGCAGTCGTTTTGTAAGGTTTTATAAAAAAGTTATTTATTTATTAAAACAAATTAAAAGTATAAATTATAATCAAGTTTAATAAAAAGTTAATTTAGACTTTATTAGTGTTGATCCAGTGATGAGTTGACTTGAGCTGTATTATTGTACAGGTATGGCACACACTATCTTATTTAAGGTAAAGGTTTCACAATATTATTGTTGGATGTCTTGGGATCCGTTTGAGGTGATGTGGAGTGGGCTCCAGATGTGTGGCACATATGTGATGTGTTATGTTTGGCTCTCAGTCACTGAATGGCCGGTAAAGTGGAACACAAGCTTATATATGAACTAATGGTAATAAATGTTTTAATTGTGTTTAAGCGGTGTTCCCGGTCAAGGATTTTAATATAACTTTGTATGTGTGTTAATTAAGGTGTATATAATTGATAACTAAAGTCAAAACTTTGAGTTGACAATAGTTCAAAAGTTATTATCTAAAATGATTTTAATTAACACATAGTGTTGAATGTAAGAGAAAGTGGTTCCCACACTGCATAGGGTATTGTCGGTGTATAACAAATAGATATTATGTGTATGTATTTGTGTATTTACATGTATAACATAAAGTTAAAGTAAGTGCTATAAAATATTAAATGTAATAAAAGGGTTGGATATTTATTGAAATAGATATTGAGATTGTATTGGTTTTATTGTATGTAAAATAAATGAATTTCTAAATATAAAATAGCAAATATATACTAAAATGAAATTATAATAAAATAAATGCATAAAATAAAAATATACTTTACATCCCCCCGTTTTAAAAACAATCGTTGGAGGGGTTTATAAAATAATTATATAATAATAATGGTTTTATATCATTTAATGTAATCTGATAATTTATGTAATATTTGTGTAGCGCTATAAAACATTGCAAATGTATTATCTTAAGAATTAATTAGTACATTAAATAGATATAATGGAATATAGTATTTTTAATATTAGATTTTTATGTACTTAGTACTGATAAAAATAATTTAATATTTAAAAATGTATAAATATATGTCAATTGTTGAGCGCAAATTGACGGCTAATCCTGGCTTTGGTTCCAGTGCCTGTTATGATTAATTGTGTAATATTTTTCTATGGTTTAGGACCTATAGATAGCTAACCTGGCTTTGGTTCCAGTGCTTTGTTTTATTGAAATGGTTAATCTGTAATGCTATATGATTAATAGAAGGTAATCTGGCTTTGGTTCCAGTATTAATAGTTTATGTTAATAATAGTAATTTTATTATTAAATAACTAAATTTTATTTTATTATTTAAATAAACATATTGTGATTTTTTCTATAGATTATGACTTATAGATATCTAACCTGGCTTTGGTTCCAGTAATTTTGCTTATTAAAATGGGTTAATATGTAATTGTATGATTATTAGTAGGTAATCTTGCTTTGGTTCCAGTGTAAATTGCATGTTACTAATTGTGATTTTAATAATTAAGTTTTAGGTTATTAATTATTTATTTTTTTTTATTTGACATTTGTTAATTTCAATTTTATTGATCATTTTAGTTATCAATTTGATCTATTATATTGACTGTTTTAGGAACAGTAAGGTTTGCTTGAGGATTAGCTTTGTTTGCTTTATTATTGAAGCAATCAATTACCCAATGGTATCTATTGCGGAAGCCTAACTTAGCACATATACCACACGGAGTATTAGGTGGATTAGGATTAGAAAAGTTTTCATTAGTTTCTTTAGACTCAGGCAATATGTTTGAGTTATCTTGAAATAAGACATTTGCATTGCTTTTTACATAATAATTTGAGCGCTTAAAATTATTTTCGGCTGTTTGTGCAATAGTGTAAAACTCAGAGAAAGTTTTAGGTTTTACAGCCGTAAACGCATTTATTAATTGAAGGTGTAAATGATGTATCATTACAGGTATTATTTGTGTTTCATTTAGCTTAGCAGCAATACCGAACCGTCTTTTGGTCTCAAAGTAGTCTTTGATACCGACTTTAACATCATATTTATGGTCAATGAAATCTATAATGGGTTCAACGGTAGTCAAACCAAATCTATTGCTTAATTTAGTTTTAATGCTAGAATAATTATCGCTATCATAATTTTCGATGTACCAGTTTAAGGCATCATCTTCTAAAAAATTACCTAACATTACGGCTCTTTGTTTTTCTGACCATTTGTTAAAGTCTGAGATCATATAAAATCTCTTGAGCCAATTATCAATTGTGATTTTATCATTAAGACCCTTATAAATTTGTATCTTAGGCTTACTACTTTTGAAGTTGATGTCGGTGTCCTCCTTTTCTGTATCAGTTGACTCGCTGTCGCTGACAACTTGAAGGTTGGGTTGAGTTTGCGTGATGTTATTATGAGTTGAATTGATTGGAAGTGTTTGGTAGATTTCGGTTGTTTCGCTGTCCTGATCTACGGCACGTCTGCGTGTTGCCCGTAATAGTCTCCGAGTTGGGACTCGTCGAGTTGCTGAACGCTTTGCCATTGAAGTAATGTTGAGTTTTCGAAGAAAAATTTAATAAAAATATTATTTTGTTGCACTTTTGATGAGAGTTGTTGTAGTTGCACTAATCCTGCCGACTTGTAAAATAAATGATGGGTTGCAGTCGTTTTGTAAGGTTTTATAAAAAAGTTATTTATTTATTAAAACAAATTAAAAGTATAAATTATAATCAAGTTTAATAAAAAGTTAATTTAGACTTTATTAGTGTTGATCCAGTGATGAGTTGACTTGAGCTGTATTATTGTACAGGTATGGCACACACTATCTTATTTAAGGTAAAGGTTTCACAATATTATTGTTGGATGTCTTGGGATCCGTTTGAGGTGATGTGGAGTGGGCTCCAGATGTGTGGCACATATGTGATGTGTTATGTTTGGCTCTCAGTCACTGAATGGCCGGTAAAGTGGAACACAAGCTTATATATGAACTAATGGTAATAAATGTTTTAATTGTGTTTAAGCGGTGTTCCCGGTCAAGGATTTTAATATAACTTTGTATGTGTGTTAATTAAGGTGTATATAATTGATAACTAAAGTCAAAACTTTGAGTTGACAATAGTTCAAAAGTTATTATCTAAAATGATTTTAATTAACACATAGTGTTGAATGTAAGAGAAAGTGGTTCCCACACTGCATAGGGTATTGTCGGTGTATAACAAATAGATATTATGTGTATGTATTTGTGTATTTACATGTATAACATAAAGTTAAAGTAAGTGCTATAAAATATTAAATGTAATAAAAGGGTTGGATATTTATTGAAATAGATATTGAGATTGTATTGGTTTTATTGTATGTAAAATAAATGAATTTCTAAATATAAAATAGCAAATATATACTAAAATGAAATTATAATAAAATAAATGCATAAAATAAAAATATACTTTACAAGTTATACAACGTTATACAAAGTTATCAATCAATTATATATAATAAATCATAATAAGCACAATAAATATTGAAATAATATACCAGTGTAGCGTGCAGTACCATATTTAGCTAAATCATAAATAAATATATAATTAGATTAAAATAAATATTAATAAAAAAAATTTTAAAATTATTGTGTATTGATTTATTTTTTCTCTATAAAATAAAATCTTCATATATTTGAAGATAACAACACATATAACCAATTTTTTGCAACCCTAACCTATTTTGATGGATATAAAATCAGATATTGTGCTAATCTCCCTGAGCTGAGAGATATCATTGAACTCAACCATTGACGCACTGATCTGTCAAATGAATTATCAATATTCATAATAAAAATATTTTTTGATATAATAGTGCAATACTATATTTTATTTGAAGATTTATATCGTATTTTATTATATATAATATATAGTAAACAATTCAAATCAGTCTTTTCTCTCTGTTTTATAACATTTAAATAAAATAAAATAAAATATATTTATTAAAATTTACGGAAAAAGGAACTTAAAAGCTCTGAAAAATATATATATTATACAAATATCTAATTTAATTTTGCTATTGATATAAAATTCAATCAAATTTAGATAATACTGATAAATCTTATAATATGATACATATATATATCAGTAGTTTTTTTTATTAATGTTTAGACTCTAACAAAATTTTTGATTAGTGATCAGTTCAAAATTGTTTCAAATAACAATTTATATAAATTTTACATTTTAACTAAATTAGTTAGAGATTGATAAACAAGAAAAAAAATTTGGACAGCATTTTTAAATTTTCTATTATTATATTGTATATATTATACACTATAGATATATTTCCAATATCAGGTGGCCCAGAGGTTAAAGGTTAGAGGTGTCAATGAGTTATAGTAAGGTATAGTATAGTAAGGATAAGTGGTTCAATATAGATGAGAGGGAGGGTAAGTGAAGTGGATTAAAGTGGGTCAAAGTGGATCAAATTGGGTTAATACCAAATTGTAAATATCATTAAAAATTCTACATTCATTCATACCATATCATCATTCATATCAAATTTTAATCATTTTTGGCATCCATTTTGACAAAAAAAAATATTAAGCGGAAAGAAGAGATTTGTTTCAAAAGACATATATATTTTAGTTTTTAAAATCTTTTATCTGAATCCAAAAATGTTAGAAACAGACAGATAGACCACAAACAGCAAATAAATATTTTTATACAATATCTTTCAGGATTTCTCAAAAGTATATAACAAATAATAATAATAAAACTTAATATAAAATATTTACGTTTTTATTAACTAAATTTTAGTAATAATGTTGGGTAATTAGAAATAATGAGTTTTATTATAAAACTTCATTTACTAAGATTAACTAATTTTATTTTTTTTAATTGAGCTATTAATTGAATGTAAAGGCATCAATGCATAATATATTAATCTATATTAAATTTACTATTATACCATGTATTTAGCTATACTGTAATGTTAATTTAATAGTAAGATATATAAAATGTACTGTATGAGTGTACATTTTAATAATATATAAATATATTAAAATTATTTATCGATAAATATATAAAATAATAATAATGTTAACAAAATATTTTTATCTCCAATGTTGTAGTTCTTTATTTTCAAAAGTAATAAAAAGACAATACATTTATTTTTTGGGGGAATATTTGGCTAAAATTGTGGCGCTTTTTTAATTTGGCTAAAACTATCAATGTTTTACAATTACAATCAAAAACACAATTTTTTTATACACATTTAAATAAAAGACAATGAGATTACAAATGATATTATTATTATTATTATATTAAATAAAACTAAAAATTAATAACATTAACACTCATTTAATACAATACTTTTTTTTTAAAAAAACAACGACTTGTTTTTTGTTAATGCTATCAATTACTGTAGTTTAAAAATTTTATGGAATCGTTGCAATTTTCAAAGACACTAAATGTACGGTAAAAATATTGATTGTAATTTAAATATTAATAATAATAATAAATTTAAAAAAATAATAAAAACAATTTTAAAAACAAAAAATAATAATAATGGATTCAACTTTAAGTTGATTAAAAAAAACATAATAAGTATCGCAATTATAAATGACTTATTTTGTGTGAACAATGAAAAAACAAAATGAGAGTATTTTTTTAAACTCCCGTTTTTTGAAAAACTAATACAAATGTTAATTATTTAAATAAAAAATTATTGGAAGAGATCTTAATTAAGTAAATGAATTATTGTTTGGTTGACATCAAATGGTTATACCAATCATTCAAATGATATATAGTATAATGTTATACACAAAGCATGTGATGTATTATAATAGCTACTAATCTTCAGTGCCGTTGTGTTCTTCGTCTTCTTCATCTTCATTGCTGTCTTGTGGAACCATTTCATCATCGGCTGACTCGTCATCGACAACGACTTTCTTTGGTCGACCTCTTCCTTTGCCGGTTCCGGTGGCAGCAGAGCCTTTGGTTGACTTTTTAGGCGACTTTTTGGGTGGTCTTCCGCGACCACGTTTGGCGCGCGAAGGACTTGCTTTAGTTGTGGCGACCGGCGATGTCTCGATAGTTGCTGCCTTTGGTTGACGACCTCTTCGTCGGGCAACATCACCATTGGTTCCATTGGTGGTTGTGGTAGTCTTGACAATAACCTTTGCCACTTTGACAGCGTGTGGATCCTTCTTAGGTCTACCTCTGCCACGTTTGGCGCCATTACTTTGCGACTCTACCGGCAATACTTCTGTGTCACTCATTATCGATGAATTAATTAAACCAATGACCGGAAGATAATTTTTTCGGTGAAGTAGTGGACAATCAGTTGGATGAGTAGTACTACTACTGTAGTCTTTTTAGTCAATACTTGATATCCTTTGTTTGATTGCTTGGTTTTGAGCACTAGTTTTGGTGCGACAATGGGTTCAGTCATATAACACATCAATGCATACAAAGAGACATCACTTTTAGCATTGAAAAAGCGCTCTCTATATACACTATAGTACAGTATATACAGTATATGTATCACACATTCAATACAATATACAGTAGTATAGTATAGCCAATGCTTAGCAATAATAGCCATCAGTGTTATAGCCAATCACGTGATGCTTAACCAATACATAGTGTCGACCGCTATATTCAATGACTAATCAATCAATGCATTGATTTGTATTATATATATGAGTGACTCATTCTATACATACATTACAAACACATTGAATATTCTATTATACGGTATATTGAATTCATTATTATATTTAACTTTAAACTCTAAAAATATATATAACTTTTAGTTTTATATAACTATTATATGTTTCCATCAAATAAATTACTAACACATATACAGTATATTAAATATATTATATATAATATATAATACTGTTTTTACTAATTTGCAAATCAAATCAATTATTTACTGTAGTTATGAACCAATTCAGTTGAGAGATAGTATAGAAGTGACAGAAATGTTATACTAAATAGACATTTGATTCACAAAATATATTAATCTATTTTTTGTGGATAAAACACTTCAATTTTCTAACTTAACAATACTTATGATATATTTATATTAATAAAAAAACAAAACTATTGTTCAAACAATTAGATTGATTACATTATTATTTGATTATTATATGATTATTATCTATTGAAAGAGTCGGTAAATAAGTTTAGTTAGTATTTTAGACTTTTTGGATTTTTAGGCTAATTATGTTAATTATTAAAGTATTAAAAAAAGTATAAATGTTTATTACTTTAGTATTATTACCGGTATTGTAATCTATATATAACTAATATTTGACTTAAAAAATTAATTGTGCATAAAAATTATTAAACAAATGATTTGAATTTAATTGAATTAAAGTTAGTTTTTTGTTTTTTAATGACATATTCTTGAATTAATATTGTAATAAATATCAATTGCAACAATTGATTCACTTATTTAATAGCAAATTCTTTGTACAATAATATACTGTATATATATAAATAATATGCTTATTAAGTAATATCTAATAATAATAAAAAACAACTTTTGTCAAACAATTTTGTTATCTTTATTATCGATTGTTATCTTAATTATTATTGTTATTCTCTCTTTATCTCTCTCTCTCTCTCTCTCTCTCTCTCTCTCTCTCTCTCTCTCTCTCTCTCTCTCTCTCTCTCTCTCTATTTAAGTCAATTTCAGTCATTTATTTTATTTGTGAGTTTTAAAACTTATTTTTTAGCAAATTAAAAGGCATAACAATGTTAAAAATTTGATTTAGGTTTATGTTGTCACAATCACACATTAATAATAAAAAATCTTTTATTACTCACACAAAAAATCGGCTAAAATTTATGTCACAAATTGTGTGAGTAATAAAAGTTTTTTTCATTTATGTTAAAAATGTTTTATATATAAATGTTGGAAACTATTATTTGAAAATTTGTTTGAATAGGTAACGACAAATTTATACATACAGACGATTGATTTACTTGTTTTTCTAAATTATATAACATATAACTGATTCATATCTATATTAGTGGACATTAGCCCAAGTAGTCGATAGAGGATATCCCTTAAAAATTTCTATTTCTTTTTAATTATATATTTATATTTTAAAAATAATAATTTCTTAATAATAATTTAATATTTATCTCTAGATTATAGTTTACCGATTATTTCTTATATGCTTTTAATTTTCAATTTTAATTATAATTTTTGTTTTACAAATAAATTGTGTCACATAAATTCAATATCATAAATTATTGAATGTTAAATAAAGTGTCTCTTTTAAATATATATATATATATATATATATATATATATATATATATATATATATATATATAATACAGTATTTAATAAATTTATTCATATTTGAATTGTTTTACTAATTCAATATTATTTCATTTAGAAAAAATAAATTTCCAAAATTATTTTTTAATTTTAATTAAAAATCAATAATAATATAATTATTTTATCATAATATATACTTAATATTATATAATTTATCAATGAAATAGTCAACTAAGCATGATCATTTATTTTCATGATAGTTACCAACAAAAAAAAATCAATCAATAGTTTAAAATAGTGTTATAATTGGTTGGCATCCTATGTATGGATGGCATCACATATACTACTGTTTGTATGTATCGTACAGTATGTGTGTATTAATACTATTAATACGACTACAAGTATTACTACTACAGTACTACTACTACTACTACTACTATAATAATGAATGGGATGGCAGTGTATGAGTATGTGTGAGCACAGGGAGGATAGACATACATGAATGCTATTAGTGTTGCCCTCACTCTCATTGAGTGTATCTCCAGAACTATGGAGTCAGTGATGGTTTAGAAGGTATTAATGTTTTTTAGTGAATGACATGAATGTTGTCCTTAAATAACATTGAAATAAATGATTTGAAGACCAACTATGTGTGACTTCTTGAGCTATCATCAACTGAATGGTCAATGGCTGTCAATAATCACAATCAGATACCGACTTACAGTTTGAGTGGTTGGCAATCGTCGCGCACTAAAGTCATGACCAACCAATCGTCGGCCAACACTATGACCAACATATCGTCGATATTTACGCGAATCCAACAGTCACTAAGTGAGGCCATGTCGACACCCAAATTGGTGATCGACAAGAGGACTATCGAAAAGACATGGAAAATGATGGACAAAGTGGTGAAACTATGTCAACACTCGAAGATGAATCTGAAGAATTCGCCGCCATTTATATTAGACATTTTGCCGGACACTTACCAACACTTGAGGACAATATATACCCGACACGAGGACCGCATGCATGTGCTCAACGATAATGAATACTTCAGGATATTCATCGAGAATCTAAACCGAAAGTGCAAACAAGCCATCAAACTGTTCAAAGAAGGCAAAGACAAGATGTTTGACGAGACGAGTCATTACCGACGAAATCTGACCAAATTGTCTCTTGTCTTCAACCATATGTTGTCCGAACTGAAGGCCGTCTTTCCGAACGGCAACTATGCGGCCGACAATTTCCGGATCACTAAATCTGATGCCAACGACTTCTGGAAGTCTGCCTTCGGAGAGAGGTTTGTCATCACTTTATGGATCAAATCAATTGATTAGTTTTGTGATCTCAATCTAATTATATTTAACTATATTTGAATTACGGTAACTGTTTTTTAAACAAATTTGTTTTGCTGTAGTATTTAATGTATATATAAGTATTAATTTTAGTTTTTATTATTTACTTTAGAAATCTATGTGATAAAAGTCACAGTAATTTTTTTAAAGCTTAAATACTGTAAAACGTTTTTTGATAATTTTATTTATATTTCTATAATTTATTATTATATTTGTGTTGTATGTATACTGTATATATTAAATTGACAAAAATTATATGCCGTATTTAGATTTAGCACACACACACTAATTATTTAGCAGTAATAATAATAATAATAATAATAATTTTTAATTATTATTATTATGCAATTTTAACAATTATTTTAAAAAGAAACATTCATATTTATAAGGAATGTAGAAATTAAAACAATTTATTAATTATTAAATTTTTTTGAAACTATTGATAGAGAAAGAGAGAGAGAGAGAGAGAGAGAGAGAGACTAAACTTGAATTAAAAACCTGTAAACATACCTGTATATTAAAATATCTTTATTATATATAATGGTCAGTCATGTATACTCACTGACAGCTCATATGAAATATTATATGTTTACTCCTGTATAATATTATACTAATGTTTTTTAAATGATTATTTAGACAAAATTTTAAAAAAAATTGATTTTTATGAAATATTGTAAATATGAAAATCTTATTTACTCATCATTTGTTTATTTGATGAATAAATGAATTAAATATATATATATTATTTTGAATAATTATAATAGAAAGTCAATGACATTTTTAAAGAGGAATTTTATGCACGACTTGTTAACGAAACATAACATCTAGTCTGATTTAAACCCTATCCCCATATAACCACTAAATAGTATATAAACTTATATATTATAGCAATCATTTAGTGCCACTTTTTCTCATATCTCTCTAATGTCTATCCTTTTTAAAAAAAAACTGATTTCATTGCTTCAAACATTTACCATCTATTGATAGCCTCGAGTTAATCGATCACTTCTGATATTATTACGAAAATTATATATTTCTTTTAAATGATTTTATATATATATATATTATATAACTTATTGTCGACTTTTAAATGTATTTTTAATATAAAGCTTGTTGCTTACAAAAAGTCATTGCCTCTTAATAATTTTTTTTTTAATTTAATTAATGCATTTATTGATAATTTATAGCCAATTATTATTATTAAAAGAGATAGTCTGACTAACTCTTAAAGTGTAATTTCTAATTTATTACAACAATTTGTTAATTATTTAAAATACTTTATTATTATTATTATGAATTTGAGTTTTTAATTAATTTATTTAGTGTAACGCATCTTTTCAATCATAAATATAAAGTTTATATATAAATATATTCAAATTTATGATAAGCTATTTTAATGTTTTGACAAAATTATTTGTTAATATTTATAATTATTGCTTACATAGTATTTCAAATATTAAACAATAATAATTATGGGCACAATTTAAATGAATTTTTTTTATAAATATGATTTATTAGTAAAAATGAATGAATTGGGAGGAAAAATATATTTTTATTACAGTATAATTTGAATATATGTTTTTAGTTTGAATAATTGGTCAAATATAATGTGTGTAATATATACTGTTTATTATACGGAAAAATCAATTTATTTGAATTAAGACGAATTTAATTGAATTTATTGCGACCCTTAACTACAATATCCTCTGTCACTGGTTGTCTGTCTAAAACCTTTTTTGTAAAACATCGGGAAATGACAACTGTATTTCCTCGATATACATGTATGTCATACCATAACTATAATATCTAATTGACGTAATCAAGAGTTGTCTAAATTTTATGTTATTAACAATTTTTGCTGTTTTCAGTTTTGTTATAATCAATCTGATTGAATCAATATGAATATATATATATATTATAACATTATTTTAATAGATAATTTTGATTTATATTAGTCCCAAATGAAGTTTAGTATTTTTCTTAATTCTATATAAATATATTTTTAAAACTATTGGAAAATAATTGTATAAATTAGTCAAATACATGAATTTTTTACTTATTTTTTCAATATTATAATTATCATTTTTATTAAATAATGCTATTTATAAAAATATTTTTATTAGGATTGTTTGATAACAATTAAGGCAGAATTATTAATAAATTCAAAAATTTTTAATACATATTTACCAGATTTAATGGTACAAACAAATGTGCAAAAATTATTTAAATTTTTAGCATTTTATTAAGAAACAATTTTTGATTACCGGTATATGTTTTTGAATAAAATTTATTAAAAATGAAATTGAATTACATAATATTTTTTATATTAAAAAAATAATTATGCAAATTTTGTTAATATTGTATTTGAATAATTTGCAAATATCATCACTAGTTATAAAATTATTGAATTTTTAAAAATAAATATTCAATTTTAAACAATTATAGTTATTTATATAAAAAAGAAGAAATAAAATTATATATATTATATAATAATTGTAATATAAGTTTAAATTAAGATTATTTTTCAATGAATTTTTATAGTTGAATCTGTCACTTGATGTCACATTTGACTTATTTATTATTACATATATTTCTAAATTCTATATATTCTTGAATTAAATATAAAAATATACATTTGTTTTGTAAAGTAGAACTCAATTGCCAGAGAGAGAGAGAGAGAGAGAGAGAGAGAGAGAGAGAGAGAGAGAGAGAGAGAGAGAGAGAGAGTGAGTGAATGTGTGAGTGTGAGAGAGAGAGAGAGAGAGAGTGAATGTCTGAGTGAGTGAGAGAGAGAGAGAGAGAGAGAGAGAGAGTTAATGAGTGAGTGAGTGTGTGTTTTGGATAAATATAGCATTTACTACATAAAAATTTTGGTTAATTATATTTTATAGATTAATGGCATTTTGCCAGCTATTATGCAATATATGGTTTTCTTTCATTGAAGAAAAACTTATTTCTTTAACTATTTACTCAAATTATCAGTTATTTAATAAATACAAAAACAGTTTACTATTTTATATTATAAATAGAATGTATTTTTGAAATAACATTTGTGTATATATTTATTAAATTTATCAAACTTTTTATTAATTTTGATACACAATTGAATTAATATAGGAATTATGAAAATTTGTTACAAATAATTAAATACAATTATATTTACTATTATACAAATACCTGTACATAAAATAACTACAGTAGATATTATTGTTAATTTTAATTTATATTATTTGTTACTTATTTTGATATCTACTTTTAAATTAGATATTTTTGTTATTATTTGACAGTTTTGCTATCTATTCAATCTATAACTCATTGCAGTAACAATTAATCAAGATTTTTTTATCTATTAAATATGCTTATTTAATTTAATTAGAAATTGTTTAATTGTTCAACTATTTAAGTAACTTATTTCAGTTATGTTTTTATACTTAAATATAACAAAATTATTCTTAAATAAATAAATTGTAATTGTATTAAATTAGTGAAACTATTGTGCATTTTTTAATCTGCAATTTGCTATACATTTTATTTAATGAATATAATTTTCTAATATAACTTAAGATCTCTAATGTATTTTCTATATGATATTTAACCGATTTTTAAAATTATTGTTTTCAACATATTATTTAATAAATAACAATTGACTTATAAGAATAACAAAACTGTTTTGATTTGAAACTATATATAAAAAACCTTTTAATTTATGTATTAATGTTAATAATTGTATTGATATTTTCAGAACCATTATCTCTTGGCGTGTATTCCGACAAACCTTACATCAGATCCATCCGATTAGTTCTGGTTTAGAGGCGATGGCACTAAAGTCAACAATTGATTTGACGTGTAATGACTATATATCTAACTTTGAATTTGATGTCTTTACGCGGTATGTTATTAAATGATCATTTATAACGTTTATATTTTACGAAACTTTAAATTGATTATATATCTAAAGTAATAATCTTGAAATTTTTATTAATATAACAATAATAAAAATAATATTATATAAATATCATTGATTTTATTTATTTTTTTTGTAACAGTCTATTCCAGCCGTGGTCTTCATTATTACGGAATTGGCAGATCTTGGCGGTCACACACCCGGGTTATGTGGCTTTCCTTACCTATGATGAAGTTAAGGCTAGACTACAAAAATATATTAATAAGCCAGGAAGGTATACATTTGTATCTATTTAGTAATATTTGGTTTTAAAAAATAGTTTTTCAATTGTTTTACTATTACTTCTTGTAGTTATGTCTTTCGGTTAAGTTGTACTCGTTTGGGTCAATGGGCTATCGGTTATGTGACACCCGACGGCAATATCTTACAAACCATTCCACAAAACAAGTCCTTATGTCAAGCATTACTTGATGGTTATAGAGAAGGATTGTATGTCTTATTTGAATTTTTTATTATTATTGTTTGATTTTATTTATAATAATAATAATTATTATTTATATTTTAAAGACTAATAATTAAAAAAGTTTTTAATGTAATTATTGTTGAATCGCAGCTATTTATATCCAGACGGTCGCAATGTAAACCCAGATCTAACGTGGGCTGTGATGGCCACACCTGAAGATCACATCCGAGTAACACAAGAACAATACGAACTTTATTGTGAAATGGGATCAACGTTTCAATTGTGCAAAATTTGTGCTGAAAATGATAAAGACATCCGTATTGAGCCGTGCGGACACTTACTGTGCACACCCTGTCTTACTTCATGGCAGGTAATGTCTATCGATATTATAATATATGTCTTAAACTATTTCATTATTGTTTATAATAATAATTATATTATTAATTTTCTATCCATAGGACTCTGAAGGTCAGGGCTGTCCATTTTGTAGGGCAGAGATTAAAGGCACTGAACAGGTAGTTGTCGATCCATTTGATCCAATGGGTCGACACACTGTTCGCAGCAAAGACGATGCCAACAATACAAGTAATTTACTAGATTTAGATGACGACGATAATTGTTTTGAGGTAATTGTTTATATATATATATATATTTTAAAATCTTATGCTAAATCTTCTTTTAAAAACATTATAAATTTAGTAAAACTTTTATTTATTTTTATCAATTAATTTTGCTTTCGATGACTTGCTCTTAACAATTATTTGAATTATTTTTTTAATTATGTTTTATTATGTTTTTTTCATAATTTTTTATAGGATGGCATGAAATGATTGATTTAATGGCTTATTATTTATTAAAAATTAATATTGCAATTTGTTTTGTTATATCGACTATGATTTGGCATTAATTATTCAAATGAAAGCATTTTGTTGTTGACATATCATTTGAATAATTCTTACAATTAAAAAAAATTATTTAAATATTTAAAAAATTGTTTACTATAAATAGTGTGTTTTTTTAATTGTCATCATTAATTTAGTAATTTTTAATTATAAACTAATTGACTCAAATGGCTAACAATGATATTGTAATTGCTATGCAATTTTTTGCATGATTTGCTTTTACTTTTAATTTATATATATATATATTTTTAAAAAATAATAAAAAGTAATATTTAAATATTATTTATAATATTAAAATGAATTTATTTTAATACTCGCAAAAAATTGTTTATAAAAAGATTTAATAATTGATAATAATAAATTGTTTTAACAATATAAGATTGTGTATTGAATCTAAAAAAACTAATTTGATAATTATTATTGTTGCTAATTATTTGCTAAATATTAATTACAGTAATATATATATATATATATATTATAATTTCTAAAAAGTTAATTAGGTTTAATCTATAGATTATTTAAGTTATGTAAACTTAACATTGTAAATTTTATTATGATTTTGTTGTTATATTTATTTAAGTTAATTTTTCGTTAATATTTTTAATATTAGTATATTATAGTAAAGATATAAGTCATACATTATTTTTATTTAACAAAATATACATTAATTATAAAATTACAATTATTAAAATTTATTAATGAAATTAAATTATCTTAATAATTTTGATTTATTTAAAATCAATTAAACAATTATTTTATCAGATTGGATAAAATAAGTATAAGTGAAATAATATACCGTATGTTTAATTTTAATTTATGTTTTCAATAACAAAAAATTAAAAATAGATATGAATTATTAGGATTGTTCTGCTAAAGTGCTCAATCAGTTACTATAGTTAATCAATCAATCAATGTTTAGTCTAATTTAATGAAAGTCAAGTGAGACAAACAAACTATACATATCTATCATTTAGTGAGTTATACTTGGAGTCAGCAAATTGTGTTGAGGCAAACATTACATTAAACTGTAATAATTGATTGTTAATAATTATAATTTTTATTACAAAATACACAAAATTTAGATATTTTAAAAACTAATTTGCATTACACTGACCATAACTACAATATTACATTGAAAATCATTGGCATAATAACACTGTATCATTAGATTAGTTCAACTAATCGTTTAGTAATTCTGGTAAAATTGATGATAAAGTTTCAGAAACTGATTGTTTTATTTATTAAAATAATATATTCAATATGTATTGCTTATGTACTAATTATAGATTTTTAATTTCCATTAGATTTCTATTATATATATATATATATATATATTTCCTTACAATTAATCAGAATAAATTCAATTAGCTATAATTTTATTAATTTTTACAAAAATTATAATTATTTAAAATTTATTGACTAATTTTATTATGTTAGCCAATAAACAAGTAAACGTTTTAAATCATTTACTATTATTTAATTAATCATAAATTGTTATCTAAAATACACCATTTATTAGGACCCAAGCACCTGGACGTCGTCACTGCAGACATTGGCTCTCAATCCAAGAATATCGGATCACAATCGAGTGAGTCTTCATTAGATAATGTGTTCACCACTTCTTAAACCGCATGAAACTCATTCAACGCATATAAATGTATTTTTTATATTATAATAGATGACCAGTTAATAGTCAAAAAGTAATAAAATTTATTTATATATATATTTGTATAATTAATAGTTAAGTAGAATATGTTATATAATTAAAAATATATACAATTACTAAAATTAATTTATAAAAAATATATTAATAAAACTAATTTTTGAATTAACAAGTTTAAAATTTTTTTAAAAATTAATTCAATATTAGTAAAAAAAAAATGATAACTTTAATGCATTAAAAAATTTAAAAATAATAATTTTCATTATCAGTCAGTATCTCCTCAATGTTCGCCACAAAATTTAAGAAAACAAGTGATACACCAAAAACTATGTACAACTGTACCGCTAATACCGGCGCCACCGATACCACCGAGACGTCAGTCGCCAACAACAACACCGCAACAATCACCCGGTGTTTCGCCAAAACATACAAATCATTTTAATACAAGAATAAAAATTTGCAAAACTTTAGTACCGATAAAAATAAATGACGATAAAAGAAAAGAAAAAATTCAAAACAATAACGAAAGTCGACTAAAAGCTGATCCCAAACTACTACTTGAAAAAAGTACAAAAGTAAACCATTTATTAAGTGCACAGACATTGAATCCGTGTCAGTTCGGTACGTGGCCCGGAGCTATCAATACGGTTGTTCCCATCAATCAAATCGGTGTCACACAGTCTGCATCCACTTCGCCCACTAATATCATCATTAGTTCGCCACTAATTCCAAGACATCCGTTGCCACAAAAACCAAAGTCCGACAATTTAAATGATAATTTGAGTACAAATACAACTGTAGTTACATTTAATTCACTCAATGAAGAACACAGTTATGCCAACACTGACCTCAATGGTAGGTCTCAATGATTTTTGTTTCATAAAATTTTTTATTTATTAACAATAAAATAATTATAATTTTGATCAATCATTTAGTCACTCGACGTAATGATTCAGAAGCCACTCAAAGCTCATCCCTATCGACAAATAGCTCGTCTTCATCGTCGCCATCATTAATATCATCAAAAACCGATCAAAAGTATTACTAAATAATAAATTAATTTTTAACAAAAAAAAAATAAATATATAAAACTTTGATCTGATTGTTATAATAATCTGATTACAGAATTATATCACCAATAATAGCGTTGACATCGGATTCATTAGATAACAATATTAACGAATCTGTTAGTTATGTTAACTTACATATGGATTATATTTCTCAACTAATATCTGAAGGCTATTGTCGACAATCGGTGATCCGAGCCCTTGGAATCGCTAAAAATGACCTCCAAATGGCCAGAGATATACTTCACGAGTTTGTCACCAAAAATAATCTAACAAAATGACTAATAATTTATTTACCGTATTATCTATTCATTTATAAACCAATCATTTGTTAATTAATATTTCTCCTCATTTATATATATATATATATATTGATATATACAGTATATACTGTGTATATATATATACATGTACTGTATAATCCATTAAATAATATATACTAATTATTTTAGTCAAATATTTTTTGCTAAAAAACAAAATTGATATCAATGAACTAATATATATATATATTTCCTAATAACTATTTGAGTATTTAATTATTGTAAAAATATTTTTAATATAAATTTAACATTTAATAGCATTTTAATCTAATTATTGAATAAAAAAAAAGTTGTTAAATTGAATATAAAGTGTAATTTAAAATAAATTCAAATTGTGGTCATTTTGTTAATTTAAATTTGTTATATAAAATGTTGACTTTGAGAAAAATGTTAAAACTGAAGCATTTCATTGTAATGACATTTTTTGAATAAAATATGTGCACCGATTAGTTCACTACAGAAGTCGATGGCCAGTGTAGACAACACAACCGCTGACCTTTGGCCACATTTACATAAGCTTTATAAAGTATTATATAATACAATACATTATTTCTAGTATTTTTTTTCTCCAATGACATAATTGACAATATTTTAATTGTTTTCTATAAACTGGATATAAATTAAATAAAAATTTAACGAAAATACTATACTTACGTTAATATTACGATACAATTCAGTACAGTATAATACATGATTTAATATTTTTTTAAATATTTGGTTAAATAGAAAAAATAGTTTTATTAATAAAAATTGCATTGCGCATTTTTTATTGAAATGTCCTTAAAATTACTACACATTACGTTTATATTATAACTATAAATTTACCATAAATTAGTTTCAATATAAGCATTAAAATATTACAGATATATTATTATAAATAATAATTTATAAAATAAGCTGAGATTTCTTAAGGTTTTGGCAAATTAGAGTACAATTATGAAAACAAAATTAATTTCAAACAATTATAATAAAAATAATTATAACTTTGTTATTTAAATTACAAAAAAAATTTGCTCAAATAAGTAAATTAAATTAATTAAAAATAAATTGAGATTAATATTTTATAAAATCAATTCCACAGATCTTCAGTTCGTCCAAATTTAAATACAAGTGAACTAATTATATCATTCAAACAAAAATAAATAAATTTAAATTAGTAAATAATAATTACACCATAAATAAAGCAATTAAATGATTGAAATACCCGATAAATATGAGAACATTTTGAAAGAAAATGCCGATTCCCGGATAAACCGTCTTTTTATTGCCGGGTATTACATAAACGCCAAATAGTATCCAAATGGCAGCGATTACTGAACCGAAACCCAACACAAAACCAATGAATAGCCAAATTCTGGCCGCTGTCTGACCAAACACACCACTAGAGTAGGCATCGCCTCTGATATGACCATTAGATACGGCGTTAATCCTATAAATCAATTGGGATTTAATTTTTATAATACGGCTATATATAGGATATATAGAAACATATAAAACAATTATTCAAATCATTACATGAATAGCGAAAGAGTGCCCAAAACGCCGCACACGTGGTATGCGCTGTAAAAGTCATTGCCATCAGTATATCGGGCAGAGATGTCAATGATTATCCACCAACCCGTGAAAAACTGGACCCGAAAAACAAACACATTAATGACCCGATAATATTTCACTAAATCAATGGCATCGATCACTTACGGCAGCGCCGGCAGCTATCGAGGCCACGGCGTTTCGCTTCTCTCCGAAGTCCAACCATTCGGGACGTCGTATTTGAATATTGTCGAGACAACCGGCCATTTGACCACAAATCAAGTGATGGATCGGTAAAAATGAGTCACCAATTAAATGAAGTGATACTTAATAATAGAAAAATGAGTGAAAATAATGATTTGATTCAATTGTTTTTGGATTTTATGAATAATTTATTTTTTTAATTATAATATTTATTATTGTTTTCAATTAAATCCTTAATTCAAATGTCATTTACATTGCAATACATAATGTATTAAAACATTCGCTCATTTGTTTGCATCCAAAACAATAAAAATATTTTGTTGAACATTGCATTCAATCAATTGCTATTCAAATCAATGTATTCCTTATGTCGGATGAAATCTACAATATTTTTATACATTTGTAGTAAATATATACATATAATGAATGGTTTAGTGCTTTTTATAACTACAACGCAATGCACTACTATATAGCTAATAGTCTTAAATATTCGTTTAGATTATAAATATTAAAGTATTTATTATTCAAGTGTTTTGATATAAAAAACTGTTTATTTCATTGAATTGGATTTGATATCAAAATCAGTAATCAATTGATTGGTTGCTATCCATTGATACACTTGAAGACAATATACCGTATAATATAAGCAATGAATTCACTATCAATGTTGAGATTTGTGTCCAAATCAGGTATTTATTGATTTTCATTGATTTTATTAATAAATTGATAACAATTGTTGTTTTTTCCGATTCGGTTAGCTATTATCGCGAGACCACTATCCATGTGTCGGATTAATGCTTACCAATATTCACCGAAAATAGTGGCCAACAGTTTGTGGACACAAACAAATGCTAACGGTTTGACTGATGACAAGAATCTGAAGTCATTATCAAACAATCAGTTAATTTCCAGTCGATTGGCCTCTTCTTCTTCATCGACTGTTGAACAAAGCGGTGGACACAATCACTCGAAATTGTGGACATTTGAAAGATATTTATCGGCGGGACTGTTGGCTGTAATTCCGGCGGCCATTGCAGTACCCAATCCGGCTCTCGACTATCTTTTAGCCCTATCAGTGGTAACTCATATTCATTGGGGACTTGAAGCCGTTGTTGTCGATTATATCCGACCGTCAATATTCGGTAAAGTGATACCCAAGTTGGCCGTCGCTTATCTGTATGGCCTATCAATTGCCGCACTCGTCGGACTTCTTTACTTTAATTATACTGACGTTGGTTTAGGTGTTGCCATAAGATTGGCCGCAAAACTATAGACTTTATGAAGACTTTTGTGATTTAGTAAAAAGTATTAATTTTTAAACAGTTTTAATAGATTTTAATAATAGATATGAGTTATAAAAAAAAAAATTGTTTTTATTGAAAATTAAAAAAAATATTCAGATATTTATGGCATTTCCATACAAATTAAATTATTACCGTAATTACAAAATTGTAATTTTATTTTTCTTTAATTATGATTAAACTATTTTGTAGTTTTTAAACCCTATAAATATTTAAATAAAACCAATAAACATATTTGGCAAAACAATAATTAAATAAATGTATTTTTTATCACATTTGAAAAAAGTATAGTACCGGTAAATTGTATTACCGTACAGGCAATTACCTTAATAAGTACCGGTAAGTCTATAAATGTTATAATTTAGCTGTTTTTCTTGACTTTTAATACCAGTATAAATTATAAACAATAGTTTATCCTACAGGCAATTGTTGGCACAGTATTCAATATAAATAAAAAATACGTAACAAAAAAACTACCGTTACCGGTAACTATTGTATATGTAGTGATTTACTAAATTTTAAAACTACCGTGACACATTTTTCATAAAATATCTATTACCTAATAGTAACTTAAAATAAATTATAATAAATTAAAAAAAAATTAAGTATTAATATAAATGAGTATAAAATATTAATATTTTCAATTATAAATATAAATACCAATCATTTTAAAAATATTTATGAAAATATTTCATTTTTTAATTGATCTAATATTATGTCAAATTTATATTATTCTGTTTGTCACTACTATTAGTGATGTTTTGATCATAATATTTGTCAATCGCTTCCCATTGTTTAGATCGCAGAAGAATATGACTTCTTTTTGATTTCATAAAATCTACCGCTTCTTGTGGTTTCCACTGGTGTTTCTGTAAACAAAACAAAAAATAATTGCAAATATTATCATATAATAGACACAATCAAGTTGTTTGAATCAGTTATTACATTCATAAGATAACAGGCAACTAATGTGGCACTTCTTGTACGACCAGCTTTGCAGTGAACATAAACAGAGCTATCGGTTCCCATAAATTGTTGCATGAATTGTACGCCACGGTTCAACTTGTCCTGAGTCGGGGCGTGTAATATGTCTGCGGTATTTAATTGCAGAAATTTGATACCCAATTGTTGCCATTCTTCAGGTGTTGTCACCCAAAATCTAAGCTCAAAGTCTTCATTCATTGAAACAACTCCTCTGACTTTTTCTTCTTTTATTAACTATTTGTTTAAAACAAACAATTAATTTAAATTATAATTAAATTAATAATAATTAATAGTATTATAATTAATATTAAATCATTAAACCTGAGGAGTAATAGATCTGAAGGGAAGCGCTCCTAATATACAGTTGTCGTCGATTCGGTCAAACCATCGTCTCGTCGATACTTTCGACATAAAAATATTGTAAAGAAGTGTTGGATAGAAAGTAACTCTTCCGAACATATTGTTGAAGATATCTGTCATAAAACAAACAAAGGAAATGATTGTAATTATCACCGGATTTGGTGCCAAATTTGGTGGACAATCAAAAAAAACTTGAAATCAGTTTTCAAAATAAAATATATATTTTCAGTGACGACAACACATGACCTATAATTCAATAGGACTTTAAATACATTGCATTCAAAAAAAACTTTAGACCTTTTTTTAGTTATATATATCTCTATTCATTAACATTGCTTTTATCTATCTATAAAAGTACTTAAATTTATAGTAAAGTTTGATATTATACATTAAATTATTAATTATTGAAAATTAATTTAAGAAAAATAAATTAAATTAAATTAAATTAAATTAAATTAAATTAAATTTACAAAATTATTAAAAATATAATTAAAAAATACATATTATATTATATAAATTATTTATAATTATTAGTAGTATTTATGTAATACTTTATATGCGATCACTACTACTGTTATATAATAAACATAATATCATATAATTTATGTTAAAACCAAATAAAATAATTAAAGACTTTATTTTGTAAATCATTTGTTGATAACTTGCGGATCAAAGTCTTGCGTTTCTCTCATATCTCTCTCAAAGAGATTAAAAAAGAGTACAAATTTTGAGCACAAGTTGTGGTGACTAACGATGGGATCCTTAAGAATATTAGTCGGATGTAAGCGAGTCATCGATTATGCCGTTAAGGTTGGGATCAATTGATTGATTTAGTGGTTGAAGTTTTTTGTTGATTACCTTTGATTGTCATCAGATTCGTGTCAAACCAGACAAGAGAGGTGTGATCACCGAAGGTGTCAAACATTCACTCAATCCATTCGATGAGATTGCCATCGAAGAAGCGGTTCGTCTGAAGGAGAAGAAGTTGGCCCAAGAGATTGTGGCCGTCAGTATCGGTCCGACTGCTTGTCAGGAAACGCTAAGAACTGCGTTAGCGATGGGCGCCGATCGGGCCATTCATGTGGAGGTCGACGACAAGTCCTACGAGACATTGCAACCGATTCATGTGTCGAAAATTTTGGCCAAATTGGCCGCTCAGGAGAAAATCGATGTCGTGATTGTCGGCAAACAGGCCATCGATGATGATAGCAATTCTTCGGCACAAATGACTGCCTCGTTGTTGGGTTGGCCGCAAGCGACCAATGCGTCCAAAGTTGATATTAGCGGCACTGATGCGACCGTTACTCGCGAAGTGGACGGTGGTCTCGAAACTATTAAATGCAAACTACCGCTTGTCATAAGCGCTGACCTTCGGCTCAATGAACCGCGTTATGCAACACTTCCTAATATTATGGTTTGTATTAACTGATTATTACTGTATTTGTTAGTTATAACTAAATATTGATTAATAATTGAATACAACAATAGAAAGCAAAGAAGAAACCGATAGACAAGAAAAAGGCGACCGATTTGGGTGTCGACGTCGAGCCAAGGATTGAGATATTGAGTGTCGAAGAGCCGCCTAAACGAGAGGCCGGAACTAAAGTCGAATCAGTCGACGATTTGCTTAATAAACTCAAACAATTGGGAAGAATCTGATTATATTGAATATACTCTACACTTAACAAACAATTATTGTTTTTCAAATGGTTTATACAAAAAAAGTTTTTAATGCAAATTATAGTTAAATGTTTCTAATCTTTATTTTTTAATAAATGATATTTTAATTGAATTGAAATATTTTTGTTGCTAATAAAATATTACTACCATTTATTGATAAATATTTTTAATTATTTTTTAATTGTTTAAATTCAATGCCATTTAGCTATAAATATATTGTAAGTATTATTTAGTCTCTTAGATGGCATTCATATCAACAATACATATGACATCATATCATAAAATATAATAAAAGCAATAATAAAGGGTTTCATTGTTTTTGTTATCAATTATTAAAATCACTGAAATGTCACACAAATAGCTAATCAAATCAAATATAATAATTAGTTTAATAATAAACAGTTAAATATCATTGAAAATCAATAAAACAATTAATTATTGGACACAAAAATGTAAGTTTGAATTGAATTTAATTTGTTTTTCCGGATTAAAAACAATTGGTTTTTTTGATTTGCAATTAATTGCAAATTTCAGGCAAAGTCTATCGGATCAGGTGTTTGGCAATGAATTGATTTTGTCGAAGATATTGTCGTATCTGTCGCTGAAAGAGTTGGCAAAGAGTTGTTTCGGTGTGAATACTGTGTGGAACAGTATCTGTCATAAAGTGATCGAAAGTCGGACACAATTGGATCACTTCTTCGAGTTGTATCGCATCTCAAGACATCACATGTCTTCGAGTCAGTCGCGCAATCGGGAGACACATTTGGCCGAAGATAAACACTTGGAGTTTGTCAACGAATGTTTTGATGACATCGAAACCAAACTGAAGACTCATTTGAGGTCACAGTTGAATATTTGGCCGCAAATAGTGGTGACGTTTTTCGGCAATTTTTGTCAACACTCGCGACGGCCCGAAAAGTTGATGCAATACAGCAATGGATTTCGCAGATATTTGCCACCGGAAACACAATTCTTGAATATCGTATCTCTTGCCGGTGTTATTGGATCAGTCATTCATAAGAGACCAGCTATTTGTCAAACAACAGCTGGCGCTGGAAATACCAGTGCCACTGCTTCGACATCAGCGGCCACTGAGCCGTCAATAGAGCCAATTGAAACACAGGCACACGTCGGCAATTGTGCCGGTATTTCATTGTTAATATTTCCGAAATACCCGAACGTCGAAATCGATATCTTTGACGAAAGAAATTTGATTGCTTTGGAAAAACTGAACGATCGAACAGACCTCAAGTGTCTGATAGTATTGGCGACCACTTATGCCGACTCCGAGAGCAAAAATATTAGAGAATTCAAGTGTATAAACACTCTGAATGAAAAATATAACAATAAACTAGCTATTGGTGGCATTGTTGTCGATGATATCAATTACTACATGAATAATGTCAATACAACACGACGTAAGACAAGAAGTTTTTATGGTTTAGCCTTCAGTGGCGTTAATGTGCGCGCCTGTAGTCTGTTGTTAAAGACTGTTACACCCGAAGCAACTGAAAAGAAATTTCGAGAATTTCGCAAAAATCTTAACTTTGATCCTAATTTAAAAACATGCGAAACAATTGGCTTTTTATTTGTTTGTACCGGAAGGGGTCTAAACATTGATACTTATCCGACATCCAATGTTGAGGCATCCATTTTCCGGAAAGTTTTTCCTGAAGTCAAACTTATCGGTGGTTTTGGTCAGGGAGAGTACGGACAAAATTATTGGCCATCGCTGACCACTGATAAGCGCACACAACTAATGAGAGAACTTCAGGACGACATCGCCATTGAACACGAAATGTGGCACTTCTACACCTCTGTCCTTGTTTTGGTTAATTTACCGAAAAAATAATTTCACTTACGGTAAGAGTTACCACTTATTTTGTTTTTTCTTAATTTTGTATTTATCAACACAAATTGTTATTAATTTTTTTTTAAATTATTTATTTAATAAATTTCATGTATAAATATTATAAATTTATATATAATTACAATAAAAATTTTGGTATTGTTGAAACAAACCAATGATTTATAATTTAAATATTTAAAAATTGTTTCAATTGACACAACTTTATTAAACACTGATCGGTTGCCAAATAATGTGTTGCTTTCATATTATTGATTAAATTGACTTTTGATTCAAACAATTTTGGTTTCATAATAACGTCCGATTCAATGCATTCAATACACTGGGCCTCACTTAACAACTCGATTATCTCCAAGAGTTGGACCGGTTGTAGGGCCTGATTGTAAAAGTCAATCAGTTTTTGTTGAGATATACACGGATTTGTTATAATATGTCCTAAAATTCCTGACAATAATTTAAACACCACTTTATTGTCAACCATACCGTTCGGTTGTTTCCAATATCGAGCAAAAAATTTAATCAACTTTTTATGACTTTTATTTGATGATGTCTTTCCAGTAGTTTGGCTGACCTGCGAGTGTACGAGCCATGGGTTGACATACTCTACTGAAACCCATTTAAATAAACAGATCCCAACTCTAAACATAATTTTTTCGTCACACAAACGATTCAGTGTCTCTTGTAATTCATGTTCAGTTGTTTTAAAAGATAATAATTCATCGAAAGAAGCGCCTAATTCTCGCTTATTTTTTATGTAATCAAGAAGTGGCTGATCATCATTAGGACAACTGTCGGCTGTATTTGCAATCAATTCTTTTGTAAACACAATCTTTTGTTTTTGAAATAATGACTCAAATCGTTGATTTTGAAATAAAAACTCTTTGTTTGATTCACAAGTTATTTTGCATTGATTTATCGATAAATATTCAGCTGTATGTCGGGTCCGATCAAATTGACCCGAATTGATATGTTGTCTCAATAAGTGTAATGCATATCGGGATGTAGTCTTCGGATCTTTCAGTGTTTTCTCGATATTTGTTTTATGAAATGGAAAGTTTTTCTGTAGAACAGCCATATTGTCGGGAATATTTGTATAAAATTTACCGCTTTTTGAACACAACAATGAGCTGACAATTGCCGCTTCAAAACCGGTCTTTCCTTCTTTTATGGAAATTACATCCGAATCCAGTGTTTGTCCTTTCATTAGATTTTCTAAATAATATTTTGTTTGATATAAAAACAGAAAACTCTGTGATATTCTGTAAGGAGTACTTCCTTTCGATTTAATGGCTGAAAAATCAATAGTCTTCTTAATTTTAGTCATAACACCATATTTTCCAAGTTTTGTAACAACAGATCTGATTAGAGTTTCCGGATATCTTTGATATATTCGGAATAAGGTTTGTGCGAACAGATTGGACTCATTCTTAACATTCAAAGTATCACTATTTAGATAATGTTTGGATAGAAGTGATGACAACAAGACATTAGTGACAACATTCACGTGAACATCGACCACATTGTTAGGTTCTTCATGTATGGGTCCTCTAACTGGAAGCAAATGAGTTGTTCGGTAAATAATTTTGAAACGAGCTATCAATTCGTCTTTTGAGTTGACATTAAAAATTGTCTGTTGATTATTGCCGTATGACTGAAGTGATTGCATTCTAACCAGTATTTGATGCAAAATATTCAGATAAGAGTCGCGCCAAACATTTTCATGAGTTTTGGGAACGTCTGGTCGCGTAACTGTCATCTCTTGATTGAATTCGCCGATATAGTCGACAACATTTTGACGAGTGTTTGGATTCTTCAGCATATAAATGATACGCCTCTGACAGGCCAATGCTGTCTTGTCTTTTGAGATATGAGGCAAATAAGTATGCAATTCGTCGCGAATCACATTCCTATTGACACATATATGTGTCGGACAGTTGGGATCCAACAAAGTTGACGCCACTTTACATACCAATAGAAACGAATCCTCTTCTGGTGTCCAATCGCTGCGCTGTTTTTTCAGAAGACTTTTAGCTCTTAAATCAATTTTATCGTACGAACGAAATCTTTTCTTATTTGTTGGTGAAGTCGTTGGTGTTGTTAAGTCTGGTAATGTTAACGATTTTTCTTTGACAACAGGAGAAGTGATGGCTATATCTGATTCAACAGTTTTAAGCTTTTTTGTTTGTTTACTTGTATTTGATTTTGATTTACGTTTTTTAGCACTAGTTGTTTTGGTTTTATTATCAATGACCTCAACATTGGTATTGATATCATTGGCGGTACTTCCCGACAACTTTTGCAATCTATTTGATGCATTGATACCTTTAGATTTGTATGACGGAGTGAATGTCCAGTTTCTTAGATTGTGAGCAAACAAACGTTTATCAATTGAACAGTTATCGCACGGATCATAACAATGCATTTGAAGTGTTTCTTCAAACTCTTGCAAATCTTTCATTGTATTGAATTCAAAGTCTGTTTTAACGTTATTCAAAGTCAACGAAACTTTATTCTTGACTGTTATGATTGTCGACTCTTTTTCTGTCTGTTCTCTATATTGTGTTTCAACTAAACCCAAATAACTAAGACCTACCAGTTCTTCGCAAAGATTGAATGCAAATTTTCGTCGATAAAGAAGACACTGACGAATGTGTGGCGAAATTTGTGAAAGAGTTTGATGTGAAACAATTGGATCATCAATGAGTTCTTGAAGACCGGGAATAATAAATGAAATCCAAATAATCTTAACAAATATTGAGACCGGAAGTCGAGGAATGATTTCACCCATTGTACAGACTTTTGCTAAAATTTAGAAAAAAAATCATTTTTTAAACTTTGAATTATTATTTAAAATAAGTCTTACTTTGCAGTCCATCGGGAAGCGCTTCAATATTATATCTCCAATCAGTTTGCGGTATATTTTCCTTTTGGAAATCGTAAGTCAAGTAATATAAAAACCGATACAAAGTCAACATCTTTTTCAGTTTAGGTTCTAAACCATATCTCCGGGCAATTGATGGCTGATATACCAAATTCATGACAACAGTATTCTTAGAGAACTTCGATAATGAACCGGAAACGACATTTGCTTGACATTTGTCTGACTGAATGTCAGTACAATATTTGCCAATCCATTGAAACTTAATTTGATTGATGCGCTCCTTTACCAATGGATGGTCGGGTGTAATGGACGGTACGCATACAAAATGAAGTTTCTTCACCTGATCCTGATATCTAAGTATTGTACGAATAGACCGAACTAACCCATCGGCGGCCAATTTGTGAACAATATTCAGAACACTTTTAGTACAAACTTTATGCAAATTGTCTTTTTCGGAGTCGAGAATCAGTTTCTTCAAGTCATAGATTCGACCAACAATTCCACTTTTTTGGACAAATTCGAGGATCAGATTCGCGCGATTTAACAGATTGACAGTCATTAGATTTGAGTCACTAAATGACAACGATTTGCGCGCCCGACTAAACATATTGATTGCTTCATTAGATCGACATTTTGGCAAATAAAGTGTCACTTTTTGTCGTCCTCTGTCAACCATAACAGTTGATATTACTTTCAATTTTTCAAGATATCGCATAAGACTTCTGGCCTCTAGTTTAGGCAAAGACAGACAACTGCCCAACTCTTTCAAACTGATCCCATCTTGCGATTCATGAGATTCAATAATAGCTAAGGCTTGCGATAGAAGTGATCGATCGACAAGTATTTTTCCCGGATTAAAGACAATCAGCGACTGTTTGTTTGTACCAATTGGTATTTCTTCGTCATCCTCTTCATCTTCATTGTCACAATTGTTATCATCATTGGAACTAATTGGTCGAATTAAATGAATCATACGTTTATTATTATTATTATTATTAGCTGATGAGTTGTTTCCGTCGTTGTTTTCCAAAGTATAAACTTGAAAATAACTCGAATAACTGGCCATCAAATCACGGAAATAACGGGTTTTTATATCCAACTGATTCTTAACAAAATCATAGTCTAATTCTTTACTCTCTGTCGCGACTAACATATCGCTGACTTTTTGAGCATTTATTTCAGTAATAGTTTGTCGTCCGGTATTAAACCGACTCAACGTAAAGACCAATCCGTGCGAATTCTGGACAGTCTTGACATTGAATATAATGATTTGCTTTTTGCAAATCAATTTCTTGCGTAACAATACTTTTCGGTAGTAAAACAATGTTTTTGCCGACTGATTGTAATTACCGGACTCTTTTCCGATCGTGATTTCGCCCAAATATCGTTGTCGACCAATACGTTCAAGAATACAGTACTGAATGGGTGTCAACTCGATGTCCACATCACTGTATGGACCCATTAATGCCTTATAACGTTGCGACTGATTGGCCACTAAAACAAATTTGCGTAAATCATAGGTTTTAATGATATCAGCGATACTCATATTGCCGTTTAAGACATCTTTTGTGACATTCAATCGATGGTAATAATCACAAGAAGAACCCTTAATTTGTTGATCACTAATGGGTGTCACCTCTCGATAGATATCGTCGGGAATGAGATCTGGATCTTCACGTATAGTTCCGGTCTCTTCGTTCATGTGTTGGTATCTGTTGTAGAGTTGAATTGTTTGTCTCGTTTGTGGCAACAAATACATGGCTATTGTCTTATCATTTGTCAGATGTTTAATGATATTTTCAAAGATAAAGTTGTGAACCGAAGCAGACTTGAAGTCAAACAATTTGTTTTTTGTGGCCATTGTTCGGGCCGTCAATCGGATCCACAAAGAGTCCAATGTCATGCCATCGAGTCCTTCGAGTGCTATCTCATCCAATATAATGGCCATCAGATCATTGTCGTCAGCCATCATCACTGATTGACAACTAAATTATCTTCAATTTAAATGTCTGTCAACTGATAGTAAAGACTTAAATATTATTATTATTATTATTAGTAAACAAATTGCAAAACAAATATTGTTTTGAATGTAAAATAATGGCAACAAATGACGACAACTTTAAAAAAAAAAAAAAATCTTAACTTTGATCCGAAAGATTTAATTGTATAGTTTTTGGTCACAATATTGTAACACTTGGTCTACACTGACCACTGATATTACCGAAAAGTTTTTCCTAAAGATTAATTGATGGCCAGATGTCCTCAAATAGTGGTCTAACAAGTGATCGCTATTTGTTGTGAACACGTGTTGTGATTATAATATTGTTGTTATAATATAGTCATATGTTTTGTCAATTTGTTTGCAAATTATTTTTGATACCGAAATTGTTTACCGAAATTGTGGTCACATCTCGATGTGTGTCTGATAACCGGTTACAATGAGTGACACCGAAAACACTGATAGTAATCAATTGATGGTTTGGCCATTTGATGGTTTGATTTTAATGATAATAATTTTAGTTTTTATTTGATTTTATTTAATAATTATTTTTTTTTATTTTCAGAGTTAAATCAATTGGATGACCGATTGGTCGCCGACTATGTCCGCCAATTATCATCGCTCGGTATTAACAATCTTATTGTTGAACCGCAACGACTCAGTGACATGAGATTAGCCGCAATTGATAAGACACAACAATTGGCTTATAATAACTACAAGACATTTATATTGAGCGGTAAATGCGGCCAACGGGTGACCAACGACTTGGATGATATGCAAAGTATTATTGACAATGCTATCGAAAAGTTACCGAAATTGAGTTCAAGTTGTCAGCAATTTTCTTCGGCCGCCAAAGTTATTTCCAATCGTTGGCGTGAAGTTTCGCAAATGCTATCAAAACATCCGCAGATTCTGGAAGTGCTAGAAATACCGCAACTTATGGACAGTTGTGTCCGCAATAATTGCTACGAAGAAGCTCTTCAATTGTATTCTTATGTCCAAAAGCTTAACAAACGATACGCTGATTCGGTTCCTATTATTTCTGTATGTCATCTGATGTTTGCCATAAAGATAGATGTTTTTAATGAATAATTACTATAAATTGAAAATTTTTATTTTATATAACTTATTCAGAGTATATCTAAAGACACTGATCTGTGCCGTGAAATGATGATCAATCAGTTATTAAAAGAGTTATCCGTTAATATTCAATTACATTCATGTCTTAAAATAATTGGTTATTTGCGAAGAACCGATAAATTCAGTGAAACACAGCTAAGGATCAAATTCTTGAGCGCTCGCGACCAATGGTTACTATCGTTGATCAAAGAGATCTCAACTAATAATCGTTAGATAATATTTATATATATATATAACTAATATTTTTATTTTTCAATTAATGTTTTTAATTATATATTTAATTTAATTACCGGTATATTAAATATATAAATATATTTTATGTTTTTTAGCACTGATTCACATAACAAAAGTAATTGAGACAAATCGTGTGAATCTGTTTGATATCGTCACTCAATACAGAGCTATATTTGCAGACACGGATCCAATTGTATCTCAAAAACATCTCTATTATGGCATAACAACAAATGCATCGAACCGTGACTTTAATGACAGTGCAATTATTAACAGTTGGGTTCAGTTTAAAATCAACAATTTTCTCAATGTGTTAGCTAAAGATATCAATGATTGTGTTAACAATGAGTTTGGACACTACTATCCAATTGAGTCGATAATAGAGCCGGCATTTTATTTTGGACTATCTATGAGCCGAATTGGAGCCGATTTCCGACCACAACTCATGCCTATTATAATTGATGCCATTTGTAAACGCTTTCTTCGTGTTGTCAATGAGGCGACAAAAAAGTAAGTTTTGTTTTTTAAAACTTATTTAGTAATTAAATTTTTATTTTTTATCACTCTTTTATATACACTAAGATAAGTAACAAAATAAGATCTTTATTTTTGCTAAAAATTTGATGAAAAGCTAGCATTTGTTAAACAAATGTTGCATTCATTAATCTAAGGATTTTTTATGTTTAAAGTGTAAAAAATTTAATGTTTTTTATTATAATAGTAAACTTAATACTGTATTTGCTTATGTTAGACAATATGGTAATATTTTATTAACAATGATGATTGTGATAAACTTTAACTGCATGATTAAAAAAGTTGATATTTTGCCAAAAATTTCAACAATTACAGCGCAAATATTACAATTTAGGCTAAAATTTTAAGTACTATAATAAATTTATTATTTAATTACCCTAATCAATTTCTATACTTATTGTATTAATGTTTTCCTGCATAATTTATAATAGAAATTTATATTTAAATTATTTTTAATATCTATATTAGATTTGAAACATCAATACAAAATTTTACATTGACTTCACATTTTGTCAATCCAACAGCTATTGATGACCAACAGGTTATTAAAATAATTAATGAAAAAAGAATTTAATTGTTGTTTAAATTATATATATATTTAGAGTGAAGATGAATTGAATCCACCTCTAAGTTTGAGTGAATTTCCTATTTTAGCTAATTATTGCAACGATATATTGAATGGTATGAATGAACTCCGACGGACCACACCATTGGCTGCCATTGCATTTTTGACCAACACTTTGAATGATTCATTTCAACGATTATTTTTTGTCGTTTCTAAATATTTCAGGTAATATTAAAAATATATTTTTAATACTCTATTTGCTTATAATTATAAATAATAATTTACTGGTTACTGAATAACATTACAATTATAATAAGTGTGATTTAATATATAATAGTATTTAATATATAGTATTGTATAGATATTAGATATAGTATAATATATTTAAAGTATTTATGAATATATTATATTTTATTAAAAAAAATTATAATAAATTAAATAATTGAATATTAGAGCTGAAGAGTCGGGTCTCACTCAAAACGAAAGACAAATTCTTTATCGATTCTGTAATCAATTTTCAACCGAACTCTTACAACATTTGGCCAAATGTTTTGATCGGATTCTACCAATGAATTTAGTGGCCAACCGTTTGGGTGTTACTACTATCGAGTTTAATAAAGTAAAGGACCACTTCTCACACCTAAACAATACATCGATCGCTGAATCGATGAACCGATTATTGTTGTCATCAAATAGTGTGACGAGTGATATGACATAAAAAAAAGATTTCATTCAAATGTCATATCAATTTGTGATAAGACTTTTGACGTGAAGACAATAGCTGTCAAATTGTCTACTGATTTACCATTTAAATGAGTTTCAAATTATTATTTATTATTATTATTTTTGTTAATTTATTTATTTTCTATATACACAATGTCTTTGTTTAATTTGTTTTATTACAATGCAGTATATATTATCAACATAATATTTGCGTAATTTTAAAAAACCGATAATATATTTTTCAAATAAATAATTTTCAGACAAAATATTTTTTTAAAATGTAATATATATTTGTAGAGAAAAAAATTAGATAATATAATAATAAATGTTTTAAAAAGTAATAATATCTGTAATTGATTGTAAGCATCGATGAGAATTGAATACAAATGATGTAATAATATTTTGTCGGAAAGTTTATTGACGTTATATAATGCATATAATAACGAACGGAGTGACTAATAAAATGGTATTTCCAAAAGCATTTGATCTATTTATGTGATCCCATTGTAAACATATAGTGTATGTATGTATGTATGTGTGAGTGTGTGTTGTTTGTGTGTCTGTCTTTAAAATACAGTAAAATACAGTATATCACACATTTATGCGCACTTTTTTTAGGAGTCAAACGCAATAAACTATATATTTATTTTTTATAGTAATATATAGCACACACACACACACACACACACACACACACACACACACACCATACCATACATACCGTTTAACACACGTATTGTTTAGTCACCAGAATATTATGAATAACACAAAAAAAAACCAGAGAATTGTCGTTCAATTTTTTCAAATGTATTGCAGATTCTTGAGTGCAATCATCGTATGTATGTATGTCTGATGTAACTGACAGTCAATATGTTATATACTGTATACTGTAGTGATGTGTCGCACAATCATTGGCCACACATCTGACACTTGATCCACACAACTATTACTATTATTTGGTTATCATTTCAATGAAATAGAAAATACACACTAAAAAAGTAAGTCAATTATTATTTGATAGTCGAAAGTTTTATTTATTTTTGTCTCTCTCTAAAAACATATAATTTTTTCTGAAATGTAAGGAAACGCCAAAAAATAAAAAAATAAAATTTATGCGACAGTCAGTAGTAATAGTCAATGACTCAATTGGCCAATGAGTTAGTTAATAATGTTAATGACTAACCATTTATCTCATTCTCACGATATGTTAAATTTTAATGTTCACTATTTTGACATTTTTTAAAAATAAAAAATAATAAATTAATTAATATTTATAAATATAAGACAATAGTAATGATTCACATATTCAGAGAAGTATTGGTTTTTCCAACAAAAAAAAATCTTTTTTTACAGAATATCTACTCTTAATAAATGTAAAGTAAATATCAATTCCTGTGTGTGTCTTATCATTATATTTTGTCGCATAATTGAAGTATTGGTTTTATTTTTGGGTAATTTCAATGACCTGCTGTTGGTTCCTATATGTATACAGTATATCATAGAAATTTTGCTTATATTACTATATTTTGTTTTGTTGACAATTTTTTTACAGAGAAAAAAGTTGTCATAAAGTATACTATTTACGGATATAATATTAAAAAAAATAAAACAATATTTCACTTTATTAAAAGATTAAACGTATTTTTCCTGACAATATAATGAATTTTATTGCTATTGTTTAATTGATGTGAATCAGCTATTATTTATTATATAATATTTATTGATTGAGATTATATGATACGACAAAAATATTTTCTCAACAATATTCAACAATAAATACTATAAAAATAATGAGTTAGATTTATAATTGATTTTTTGGTTTGAAAAAACTATATTTAGCTAATCATTTAGTTAAACAAAATTATATTTAATTTTTTTTATTATTATTGTATTAATAGTATGGTGCCGAAAATTTGCTAATTTATGTAATATTTATTTTAAAAACTATACTTTAAAAATGTGGAATATTTACTGTATTATCATGATTTTAAAAATAAAATCTATTATAAATTTTTTTATACAGTATTTGTTGAGTATAAATATAGTAATTGTAAAAATTCTTGTTAATTAATTTAAAACTTATTTTTACAATTATTATTATTATTAACTTTAAAATGTCATGAAATTTGAATGTAGACGACAGACAACTGTTTGAGAGACAACATGAATCACAAAACTATTTCATATATTTTTCACAAAAAAAAAATTTTGATTCAAAATAATATTTTTGATACTTAAAATTTTTCTTATGCTTTTAACATAACTATATAAAAAATAATCATTAACAAAATTATTTAATGAAATTTTTGTTTGTTTGTTTAAATTTTTAAGTTAATAAAAATAATATATTTATTTAATACTTTTCTAATGTTTATTTAATGTCTGATTCTTTTTTGTTTTGTATTAATAATTGTTTATAATGTTATTTAATTGATATTTTTTCCGCTGTTGCGACTGTTTTATACTTTTAAAAATTTAGTAAATTTTATTTAATGTTAGTAATTTAGGTTTTGATACACTAATTAATTTCAGTTATATATATAAAAAAAACGTTGATTACTTAATACAATACAGATAAACTTATGTCACCGCAAACTGTTATTTAATAACTGTTTTTTTTGTCTACTTTTTTCAAAAATAAGGCAATTATTAGATGAATACTGTAGAGAGTCATATTCACAAGTATTTGATTGCAATTATAAACAATCATAAATCAGTTTTACTAAATCCCCAATAAAAATACAATTTGATATATTAAAGTACAGTATATTTAAGATAGTAATAGATATTTTTTAATATTTTAATTAAATAAACAAATATTAACTGAATGTTTAAAATAACAATACTGTAATGCAATTTGTTTTAGTTGCCACTCATTTGAATTTTTAAAAATTATATTTGATATTTATTTATTTAATTATTATTTGAAAATATCAATTATTATTATTATTATTTGAAAATACTGTATATACCATATATCAAATTGTATAATTTTTATTGAGATTTAGTTAAACGGATATATGTTTATAAAATGCAATTATAAATGCAATCAAATACTTTGGTAAATATGACTCTCTTTTTCATCCCATGATTGCCTAAAAAAAGTAACCAAAAAAAAATGCTAACTAAGCAATCAATTAAAACACTAGTGTAATACCGATACAGTAAATGTACACCAATAAACAAAAATTGTTTTAAAATGAAAATAAATTACATAAATTGTTTATTAAATAATCAGACAAAATAAATTAATAATTTAGAAAAAAAAGTTTAATGAAATTTTACTTTTATATAATAATTACTGTAGTATATAATCATTAACTTTTAGATAAAAATAATTTTTATAATACTGTATTAACATATATATATATATATATGTAAGTAAAAATTGACACAAATAAACTAGTACAATTTAATCAGTTTGTTTATTCCACTAAAAAACAATGACTAAATATAAGGAAATTACTATTAAAGGGAAAAAATGAGTCAAATTAATAAAAATAATACACACTATAAAAAATATAGTCATATCATATAAATGATTCATAGATTAGAGGTGGAAATATATTAGCATTTAATAAAAATAAAATATAAACAATGAGCTAGTTCATTTAATTAAATTAAATTAGTTTAAACAGTACTATTAATTTGTTGGATTACACATAAAAAAAATTATATGTGATTACCATTTATGTCTAACTAAGTCAACACTACTGTTCCAAATAGTAATAGTAATTATAATAATTCATAAATATATTTTCATATATCCCTTATATATCATATAAAATAAAAATTTGTAATACTGTACAGTGTTACGTTTGTGTATAATTATATATATATATTTTTTTGTGTGACAAATGTTTTTTAAAAATAAGTAATGTTGCAATTTTTTCAACAAAAATAAAATAAATTAAAAAATCTATCATGATAACATATTTCGGAAGTGGTGGGCGTTAACATACATACACACACACACACACACACACTATCATAATTATAATAATAAATTTTTTTATGTGAGTAATACAAATTACTATGAATTTAATAATAAGAGAAAATAAAACATTTTTAATTTATTTGTAAACATGTGTATTGAATGAAATTTTTAAGGATATACTGTTAATTATAAAGTGTTAAATAATAAGTTTTATTTAAATTGAATTGAATTTTTATTGCAATTGTTTTCATTATTATTATTAGAGACTGTAGTAATTTACAGTCAATCAGTTTGTGTTTATAAATAAGCAAATGTCAGTCCAGTCACGAGATTATAATAATAATAATAATAAAAGAGTAATGCATTTGAATTGAGTTCAATATATAGCTTATAATATCGTATATAAATATATTGCTTAGGCATAGGAAGCGCTCATTTAATGCCATAACTATTACATAGGGAGTAGAGAGAGAGTTATATATATATATATATATGTATAGAGTATGTATATGTTCGGCAAAAATGTTATTAACATTACATAACATAGAGTCCAATGTATTGCTGTTTTAAATTGCAAGCAGTTTTGTTGAGAGTTAAGTTAAGGTTGCAAAGTTGCACAAGTAGTTTGGTTTCTTGGAAAAGGGTTTCACATATAAATGATATGAAATGGTGGGATGGCATTTCCGAGAAGTCACCAATCAACACACACACACATACATATATACACATATATATATATATACACATACATACATATTATATATATATAGTATATATACATTACTTTGACTCACACCAAAAGTTTTATTGCACTCTTGATGAATGCAGTGGTGGTGTGTGTGTGTTGAGCCAGTGCTGTGCCATAGTTACTACCAGTGCCGCAGACTGTCTGTTTGTATGTCGTTTCTGTATATATATAAACCAGCTATCTATCTATCGTATGTATATATATATATTGTACTGTCTGTGTCTGTATTATTGCATTGTGACGATTACATACATAAAGAAAACACACATTTTTATTATTGTAGAGTGAGATTGTCAGTCAGTCATTGAAATAGTATATTAAATATATTTTTAAAAGAGAGAGAGAGAGAAGTGTTTGCAGTCGTGAGGTGAGAGTCGGTCTTCAATCGTCGATTCAGCCGTTGATTTGGATTTATTTTATTTTTTAAAAAATTTAGACATCAA